GCAGCAGAACTTCCCCATTTTATAGATGGTGTGTTTGTTTATTTTCATAAGCATTTAGAGGAGGTTTCCCGATGTCGTGCTTGAATATCAACCCCGTTCAAGTGATCGACATCAACATGATGGACAAACACCATTTTGGGAGGTTTGTTGAAAAAAAAATGTATATAAGAAAAAATTAATTACTACTAACCATCAGTTCCATCTTTGTTGAATTATAGATTAGCTGGTCCTTCTGTTTTCTTCAAAACCATGTATCACATCTCCGCCGCCCATCCGCCGCCAGGGCCCTGCTCCTGAAGGGAGCGAGCTGAGCGAGGCTGCACGACGCCTCTCTTTGGAGTTGGACGAATGCTTCTGAGGTGTGTCTGAAATTGGGCTGTGCCCCCCTTTACCAAGCCACTTAAGCGCACTTAAGGCATCTGGGCAGGCCACTTCAGACCTGCTAAAAGTTTAAAATGATGGTTTTTGATATGTTTTAGTCAGTGTTTGAACTGGCAACATGAGGTTTTTGAAATTGTTTTATAGTAAGCCGCAAAAATGGAACAGTAATTCATGACTATTTCTGGGGAATTTGGTGTTATTGTGTTCCATTGGAATTGGTGGTACATTCCATTTTCAGACAAACCCAGTTCGAACATTGGAAAAAGGAAGGAGCCGCAGCGGTTTATAGTGGAAATTTTGGACATTTAAGCAGCAATTCAGGGGATACAATCTATACATATGTAACATATAGTGAATACTGTATTACACTATATAGTATGAATATGATATATATATATATATATGTATACATATATGTTCAGGGGAGACATGCCGATACACACACATATATATATTTATATTGCGATTAATACATATAATGAGAACACACAATACGAAGGAAATAGCTTCTGAGTTCGAGAATTGAAACGAAGGAGCTGGAGTTGTGGTTGATGGAAATATCTGGGCAACTAGATTCTAGCTGTAGCCTTAGATTTGTTACATTTTGGTAGATCTTGGCTGATTCCAAATAGTTATTGATTTATTGGTTCATTCCAAATAACTATTGATTTAAACAAACATTCTGGGGATGTACTCGGACATAAACAACATGATTTTTACGTTGGAAATGGGCCGGTTTACCATCTACAGGGGAAGTTCCCGGAGGGTATAGGTCAGGGAGGATCCTACATGCCCCGTGGTGCTGGAATATTTAGCAACATCACTGGGCTATGGGGGGTAAATGTTTAAATATTCCAGAACCATGGAGCAGATGTCTATTCTTATCTGGTTGGTGGTTTGGAACATTTTATTTTTCCATATATTGGGAATGTCATCATCCCAACTGGCTTCATATTTTTCAGAGGGGTTGAACCACCAACCAGATTAGTAATATGCGATGATTATGATTCGAATCAGCCAATCTGGTCAACCGCCATAACCCCTCCCCAAGATGATGGGATTATTTTGGGATTCTGGGTGCGATCTGGGACCTCTCCCGAAAAAAGGTATAGCTGGTTGATGTTCACCCAACTGTAGACGTATCCAGCAAAAAAACATACAACTGATCAAAATGTATTGTTATCGAAGGAAGTTTAGAAGTCGAACTTCCGACAATATGGACAGATGAAAAGCAGAGCAGGGAAGAGGCAGAGAGAAGAGAAAGATTAGAAGAGAGAAGATCAGAAGAGAAAGAGTCAGAAGAAAGAAGATGCAGATGCGCGAAAAGGTAGGAAAGTCGCGAAACACTGCGTTTTTCCAATGATTTGTGGCTCCGGAGAGTCGAAAAGTAGGCTCGCTAAAGCGGCGGGTGCGGAGCTAGCTGGCCAGATGAGAGATGAAAAATTGCACGCCGTTGTGGCGCGAAGCACATTTCCAGGTCAAAATGTACAAAACACCTCAGCGTCGGACCACTTTTGGAAGTTGAGATGTCAAAAAAGTGCACGCCGTTGTGGCGCGAAGCACATTTCGAAGTGAAAATGTAGAAAACACCTCAGTGTCGGACGACTTTTGGAAGTTGCGATGTCGAAAAAGTGCACGCCGTTGTGGCGCGAAGCACATTTCCAAGTCAAAAGTGTAAAAAACTGTTGGTCTCGGACCACTTTTGGAGGTTCGGATGTGGAAAAAGTGTCGAAAAAGTGCACGCCGTTGTGGCGCGAAGCACATTTCGAAGTCAAAAGTGTAAAAAACTGAGGGTTTTGACCCTTTTTTGACGTGAAGATGTCGAAAAAGTAGACACTGATTAACTTAACTAACTTGACTAACTTCACTAACTTAACTACCCTAACCTCGACAACGGCAACAACAACAACAACAACACCAACCACAACAACCAACCACAACAACTACAACTACAACTACAATAGATCGATAGATGGAGAGATAGATAGATAGATAGATAGATAGACAGATAGATAGATAGATAGATACATCGATAGATGCAAAGATCGATACATGGAGAGCTAGATAGATACATAGAGAGATAGATAGATAGATAGATAGATAGATAGATAGATAGACAGATAGATAGACAGATAGATAGATAGACAGATACATCGATAGATGCAAAGATCGATACATGGAGAGCTAGATAGATACATAGAGAGATAGATAGATAGATAGATAGATAGATAGATAGATAGACAGATAGATAGACAGATAGATAGATAGACAGACAGACAGACACAGAGAGAGAGAGAGATAGATAGATAGATAGGTAGGTAGGTAGGTAGGTGGATAGTCAGAGAAAGAGAGAGAAATAGTGAGAGAGATCAATCACCTTTCGCTCCATCAGTGGCTTCGCTCTGCCATCCCTGATTCACAACAACCAACCTCTCCTATAGGTTTCCTATTTTTGAAACTTCCGCCACCGCCTTGTGCGGTACTACTGGTAAACATAGATGTTCTTTTCCCATTGGTTGGTTGATGAATAGAGGGGTTTGTTCACCCCAAAAGGACATTATTGGTTATAAATCAACAAAACATATCTAGCGGGCCATTGTAGGAATGGTTCCAAATCGTGTGCCCCCTTGAACTTGGATTCTGTGTTTCATGGTACCATGTTTGAGCCCTAGCCATAGAATTTGGCCGCAAGATACGTTAGTTGTTTGATAACGACAATGACCAGGATTCATGGCTGGTGGATTTGCAATTGGGTGGATGTACACCAACTTATCAGCTGGGGGTTGCGCATTCTATCTAGTCGCCCGATCATTTCGGAAATGTTCCTCCGGCTATAGCTGCACCTCTTTCTTGAGGGATGCAAACCGTTCGTATAGGTTTTGTAAGAACCATGATATGTATATATATATATATATTCCATGGGTGATGAGCCATTTATGTGTTATTTCATGGGTTATCAACTATTTACATACCCTTATAGGTTACACACCATTGCGATTCGTGTCGGGCACGCTGTATCCTGCTCAAAGGGACGCCACATGACGGGGGCGGACGTTCCACTGGCTGGGTCTTAGGGAAAACTCGGTTTCCGCCTGTCAGGTGGCTAGAGTCGTTTGTTTCTGATAGTGATCTTTTTTGGGACATGATCACATCAACAAATATTGAAATCAACATTAATACTATCAAGTTTGAATTCCCAAGACGACTTAAATGCGAGAGATCCAAAGTAATGCCCCCAGCACAGAGCAGCTTAGATCAGCAGAAGTAGGTTAGTCGCTTTCTGATTCCCTGAGAATCAGCCAGTAGATCGACCACTCGGTGGGCCATGGCACATAGGCCGGTTGTTGATTTTGGAGTGTCCTAAAATAGGGCTACCACCAAATATAGGTCAATCAACTGGATGGGTCGAAACTCATCCTAACTAGTCTTTTGGTATGGGATTATCTACGTTGACCAGCTGCCAGTTTTTTTTTGCAGGGCATCTAATTTTTGTCCATGTAAATTTAGATGATTTTAGTATTGAAAGCCATGCTTTTTGGGATTACCCAATTTTAAGACACCCCCATTTGGGACTTCACGACGACCTCACAAGAAGCTTTGCATAGACAATTCATGATGGCTGTGTATTATTCCAAAAGTTTACTGCATTGGGAATGATCATAGATTCTCAATATGCTGATCATGCATTTTCTTAGATCAATCATCTCAAGAATTGGATATCCGAATAGCTCGAATAGCTGAATCAGTTTGCCCGAATTGAAAGCCCGATGTACGTGGTACGCTCTGCAGTTCAATCTCCCAGCAGCCAAAAGTAGACCACAGAAGCGCCACAAACTTCTCATACACTTTCTGCACCACTGGGAATTTTGTGAAGGGTGGGATATATAAGCGACCATTGAACTGGGGTCCTAGATTATCAACCACAATTGGTCAGGGACAAAACTAGCAGTTGTACACATTAAAAACACCTTCAAAGAAGATATGACCACCATTTCGTTCTTCTTGGCATCCCCACGAGGTATACCAGGTAGCATCCCCACAAGGTAGTGCCTCCGCCGTTGTAAGGTGATGTATAAATCCCACATAGATAAAATATAGTTTAATAATGTTAAATATATCTATCTATCTATCTATCTATCTATCTATCTATCTATCTATCTATCTATCTAGCATCTTCTAACATGGTTCACCTACTTACAAACCAATTTAGCTAACAAACTTGGGCACCACCATGATAACCTTCATGTTGTCAAAGTTCAAACCACCTTGCCATATAACCTGTCAATCCCTGTTTTGATGTGTAGCTGATGCCTGTGGCAGCATTATCCCCAATTGCGGCTGAAATTCCCCATTTTGGGGGTGATGAGGTCCTTTAAACAAACATCCTCATTATAGGAAGAATCTTGCACTATGATTTACCAAAGTATATTATACAATATATTTTGGTTGGTGGTGGTTTGGAACATGATTTTTATTTTTCCATATACTGGCAATGTCATCATCCCAACTGACGAACTCATATTTTTCAGAGGGGTAGGTATACCACCAACCAGATAAATATAGATAATGGGATTTTGCCCATCCACCGTGGGATCTCTGAGGGCCCATCAGAGGCCCACATGGCAGCTGCCGGTGATGACTCTCGCTCTCCTAAGGCTGAGTGCTGCCCAGCTTTGGTGAACTTAGAAGGTTTCTACAGAGCCCCAAAAAGCCAGTTTCAACTGGTTTATACATGTTTATAGCCTCGTTTAAGTGATAATATAACCAACCAGTTGCAGGAGTTATAATCCCATTTTTGGCCACAATTTCATGAGTTCGTTTTTTCAATTCATTTGCTTTTCCTTGCTGGAAGGTCCAAGACCATCTGAAACTGCGTGCTCAAGTGGATTTCCGGGTTACAGTATGTAACCTTGCTGAATGGTTGGTGAATGGTTTAATGTCTGAATAAATATCGTTGCTGATGCTTCAGATAGCCCCTGCAATTAACTTTGTAGACGCAGTGAAGTGGGCCCAACATGACGCTTTCCTCAAATGGTGCCATGGGCTACATCCGAAATGCAGACGTTTTTGAATTTGCCTCCTTCTGAGCCATTGTGCATCCAGCGACGTTGGGGTGGGTTCTGAAATATCAGGACTTGACTCCTCTTGGACTTGAGCGACAACGAGAATACCTCATCCTTTGGTGTTCTCATCGCACTGTGGATCAAACATAGCTATTGAAAGTGGCCTTTCTGCGGCAAACATCAATGTATTGAAAGCCCATTTCCGGAGTTCTATCAAGTGAAGTTCATGGAAGATAATCAAGCTTCAACTACAGTCATGCACACTGGAAACTCTTCGACGATGAGGTATGCCAATAAGACCCAAAATATTTGTTTCAAGTGGATGAAGCAACAGTTTGAGGAGGAACAATTTGACCTCATTAACGTTGGTACTGACTGGCAAACCGCCGACATCTTGACGAAGCCCGAGCATTGGGAAGTCTTGGATCACCGACGACAAGAACAAGCCATTTATAGTTGATTTACCCATAAAAAATGGTGATTTTCCATAGTTATGTTATTTTACCAGAGGGTAGATCGCAACCGTGAAACATCATGAGCAAGTACGTCCGCGATGCGTGGGTTATCCCATATACAACTGGGTCATATTGACTATTCCCTTCCCCCTAGTAATAAACACCCCCAAGAAAACGTGGTTTTGTAGGTCATGAAATCACAAATTTGGGACCATACAGTGGGGGGCTTACATAATATGAACGGTGCATGGGATTAGTTCATATTCCTATCCCAGTAGTACCGCACAAGGCGGTGGCGGAAGTTTCAAAAATAGGAAACCTATAGGAGAGGTTGGTTGTTGTGAATCAGGGATGGCAGAGCGAATCCACTGATGGACCGAAAGGTGCTTGAGGTCTCCTCTCTTTCGCTCTCTTTCTCTGACTATCTACCTACCTACCTATCTATCCTATCTATCTATCTATCTATCGATCTATCTCTCTCTCTCTCTTTCATCTGTCTATCTGTCTAGCTGTCTACCTGTCTATCTGTCTATCTATCTATCTGTCTATCTATCTATCTTTCTCTCTCTCTCTCTCGCTTTCATCTGTCTATCTGTCTAGCTGTCTACCTGTGTATATGTCTATCTATCTATCTGTCTGTCTATCTGTCTACCTGTCTATCTGTGGTGCAGTGTCATTCAGTGCAATGTAGTGAAGTGTAATGTAGTGTAGTGCAATGTAGTGTAGTGTAGTGTAATTTAGTGTAGTGGAGTGTAGTGGCGTGTAGTGGTGTAGTTGTGTAGTTGTAGTGTTGTGGAGTGTAGTGTAGTGTAGTGTAATTTAGTGTAGTGGAGTGTAGTGGAGTGTAGTGGAGTGTAGTGGAGTGTAGTTGTGTAGTTGTGTAGTTGTAGTTGTAGTTGTAGTGCTGTGGAGTGTAGTGGAGTGTAGTGGAGTGCAGTTGTGTAGTTGTAGTTGTAGTGTAGTGGAGTGTAGTGTAGAGTAAGGTAGTGAAGTGTAGTGGAAGGTAGTGTAGTGTAGTGTAATGTAGTGTAGTGGAGTGTAGTGCAATGTAGTGTAGTGTAGTGTAATTTAGTGTAGTGGAGTGTAGTGGAGTGTAGTGGTGTAGTTCTGTAGTTGTAGTTGTAGTGTTGTGGAGTGTAGTGTAGTGTAATGTAGTGAAGTGTAGAGGAAGGTAGCGTAGTGTAGTGTAGTGTAATGTAGTTAGTGTAATGTAGTGTAGTGGAGTGTATTGGAGTGTAGTTGTGTAGTGGAGTGTAGTTGTGTAGTTGTAGTTGTAGTTGTCGTGTAGTGGAGTGTAGTGTAATGTAGTGAAGTGTAGTGGAAGGTAGTGTAGTGTAGTGTAGTGGAGTGAAGTGTAGTGTAGTGTAATGTAGTGTAGCGTAGTGTAATTTAGTGTAGTGGAGTGTAGTGGAGTGTAGTGGAGTGTAGTGGAGTGTAGTTGTGTAGTTGTAGTTGTAGTGTTGTGGAGTGTAGTGTAGTGTAATGTAGTGTAGTGTAGTGGAGTGGAGTGTAGTGTAATGTAGTGTAGTGAAGCGAAGCGAAGCGACACCTGAACCTCCAAAAGTGGTCCGAACTCCTAGTGATTTTAACATTTTGACTTCGAAATGTGCTTCGCGCCGCAACGGCGTGCACTTTTTCGACATCCGAACCTCCAAAAGTGGTGCGAACCTGTGGTGTTTTGTACATTTTGACTTGGAAATGTGCTTCGCGCCACAACGGCGTGCACTTTTTTGACATCTCAACTTCCAAAAGTGGTCCGAACCTGATGTGTTTTGTACATTTTGACTTCAAAATGTGCTTCGCGCCACAACGGCTTGCACTTTTTCGACATCTCAACTTCCAAAAGTGGTCCGAACCTGGTGTGTTTTGTACATTTTGACTTCAAAATGTGCTTCGCGCCACAACAAGGTGCACTTTTTCGACATCTCAACTGCCAAAAGTGGTCCGGAGCTGGTGTGCTTTGTACATTTTGACTTCGAAACGTGCTTCGCGCCACAACGGCGTGCAACTTTTCATCTCTCATCTGGCCAGCTGGCTCCGCACCCGCCGCTTTAGCGAGCCTACTTTTCGACCCTCCGGAGCCACAAATCATTGGAAAAACACAGTGTTTCGCGACTTTCCTACTTTTTCGCGCGTCTGCATCTTCTTTCTTCTTGCTCTTTCTCTTCTACTCTTCTTTCTTCTAATCTTTCTCTTCTCTCTGCCTCTTCCCTGCTCTGCTTTTCATCTGTCCATATTGTCGGAAGTTTGACTTCTAAATGAGGTGAAGGAGGAGTGTCAGCAGCCTGAAAGGCTTCCAGAGGAGGCGACCATGATGGTGTTTCATGGAGGTTTAAACATCCAAACAATCGGGGTGTAATCGATACAACCACGAAACAATGGTGAAATTGACATGATTTAAACATGACTTAACCATGGAAGCTTTGGGAGAATCTGGATAAAACCTTGGTTTTCATCCATGGTAAGTTTGAATGGAGGTTTAACCAGAAAAGACCTGATGGTTGATCCAGAACATTCGGGCGGTTGATGGGGATTCACCACAAAATGGCTAGTAAGCTGGATGTGGTCAGAGTTGGCCTATGACTACAAGGTGGTGCCCCCCCAGTGATGTGAATGTTGGTTTATAATCCCATTAACTAGTTAGATATATCTACCATAAGTCCTAGTTATTAGAGTTATGTTCACCAACTTAGCTATCGAACAGGGGCACCACATTGTAATTAATAACAACGTTTTTGTGTTGCTTGTATGCACAATGGTCGAAACATATCGAAACATGGTATATCGTTTTAAGTCACTCCATGAAATTGGGAATCCCGGTATAAAATTCGGCTATAAATCCACTTAAGTGGGATTATGTAGTTCATCCATATCTTGATGGAAATCCCACCATTTAGGCCACGTGGATTTTCCCAGCCATGTTTGCCGGAGGGAAAACCCCCACAGGGTGGTGCCCCAGCTTGTGAACGCTAAGTTGGCTTATAAAAGTCCAATAATTATGGTTTATAGGTGATATATCTATAGCTAGTGGTGTTATAATCCATTTACAACTTGGGGGGGCACCACTTTGCAGAAGGCTCAAGACATTCCTGGTGGTCCCCACAGCTGCAGGTATGCCATGACCAGTCCCCGACACCTACAAGTTCTTGCCTCAGGGGTGAGCTGGATGCGGGTCAAGAATGGAATAATGAGGTAACCCCAGTCACCAACTGTAACTGTTTTTGGGGGGATGGTATGTAGATATACTTATTTTTCGATGAGATGATGTATGTTTGGAAAAATCCGACTGGTTTCTTGTTGAAATTACATGAAATTACTATCCGGAAGCCCACCAAACTGGTCAAGTCTAGTCTTAAACCACGGCAGAATTGTTAGATGAATTGAACTCATGACGAAATAACTTCAAAATCAAATGGAATCAGCTCTAAGCCATGTAAATTTGGGGCTGAATCATTCTGAGCCAGAGCCAACTGCTGCAATGGACTGGCTCCAGGTGGCACTGGTTGTTCGCTAAGGTGGTGTATTTTTGTAGGTTAATGATGTGTGGTGGATATGTTGGTTCGCCACATGCCACGTGGATCGCTTGGCCTTTGTTTCACAGTGTGGTGGATCCAATGACTGGTGTGATATCGCCAGACCCATGAGACACCACCTCAAAGGGGTTAGGATGAATACACTATGGGAATGTGGTGTTGCAGTACGTCAGAAGAATGGATAGTCACAGTCTTGCTACAAACAGTTTGGCTGCAGCCACTTCTAAAGGGTCACGTAAAGTTGAATGTTTGTCCAGGGTGTGGTACATCACGTTTGCCTTTTAATTTCCAGGCTTCCAACTCTTATACTTTGGGGTTGCTTTACTCCCGTTTAAATATCAACAAACAGAAAAAGATTAAGTAATTGAGTCCCAACTCAGGGTTTCAGGTTTCCAGACTTTCATCTGGAAGTTGATCTGTGAAAAGTCCAGTAAACTTCCAGAGCCAAATGCAGATGAGAATATTGCATCACCAATATTAAGGTCATATTGAAAATGGAAAACAATGATTTTTGGGTATATTTAGATTCCATAACCATTTGATGGGTCACATCAGATGTTTTTGGTACCACCAACCAGACATTCACTGGGCTTGGCCTTGTTGCAGATAGCTGGCGGAAGATGCACATCAGCCAGTGACTTGCAACGATGACGTGGGGATGCGTTGCGGGCTTGCAGGGTTAAGGTTATACAATGTGGTGCCCCCGTTCGATGGCTAAGTTGGTGAACATAACTCTAATAACTAGGACTTGTGGTAAATATTTCGAACTAGTCAATGGGATTATAAACCAACTTAGCTATCTTGGGGGCACCACCTTGTGAAAATGGTGTATTGCCCCCAAATATCCCCAAATGCTACTTTTAATCGGCAAAATGATGATTTGGGGTTATAAAATTCCTCAAGTGGATTTATTACTACTAAAATGGATCAAGTACATTCAAGTACTATATCCCCAAGATATCTCCAAATGGAAAAATTCACCAACGGATTTAGAGCGATACCCATACTGAAAACGGGTCACTGAGGATCTACCCTCTGGAAAAAGAACTCGACTCATAGGTTAGTAATTACATGAGCTATCAACAGCATTCTCTATATCATAAGTCGTGTATATATATATATATATATGCATTCATTCATTCATTCATTCGTTCATTCATTCATTCATTCATTTATTTATACTATTTTTAATATATATATATATACAAAAAAACTTATAACCCCCTGTTTTGGCTGGGTTCAACCTTCATTTGCCGATTATAAGCCCCACTCGTTCCCAGGTATCGCGATCAGCGGCGGAGGCGGAGTTATGTTGTGATGTGCGTCTCAGTAACGTTGGTAAGAAGTAAAGCAGTTAGATTAATGTGATGTACTGATTACTTATGGCTCATTACAGATTAGTAAGCCAGTTAGATTGGTATGTCAGTAATACCCTAGAAATATATGGGTCATTCGTCACTTACTAGCCGTGATGCACCCTGTGTTCGTATGAATGCGAGGTAGTTCCAGTAGTGAACTGCGCGGCATACAGCGTGCGCAATAAGTTACATCAATAGTCGCTCGGTTCGGTAGTGCCTCAGTTCCTAGTCGCTAACTTCGTGAACATAACTCCAATTTCACTAGGGTTGAATAGGTAGATATATTGACATAGTTATTATGGCACTATGGCTTATATGCCAGCTTATAACTAGGGGGCACCACCTTGTATCATTCATACCTGAACCATACTTCATAGGTACAAGGTGGTGCCCCCCCAGTGATGTTTGTTCGTTTATAATCCCATTACAGTAACTACAGATATATCTACCATAAGTCCTAGGTTATTAAAGTTATAAACCAACTTAGCTATCTTGGGAGCACCACATTGTACCAAAGGCAGGAACCCCAGATCCTTCTGCAGTGGCCTGAGGAAAGGCGGTTCAGTGGAGATGCCATCCGGGATTTTGAAGCAGATCCCACTGGTAACGCAGCGCGTTTCCAAAAACGTTTTAGAAGTTGGCGTTGCGTTGGAAAAGCCATGGCAGCCATGTTTATTGTGTCAAATTAGTGCAGGTGAAGTTCCCGTTTGGCTGCTGATTTTTTTTACTTTGGAGGATTCCAGACTTCTTAGGGTGAAAAAACCCTCCAATTTGCTTCCCCTGGTTGTTTTCTTGGTTTTCTCTCCGTTTTTTCCGAGCTTAAGAGGATTATCTCACGATGGTTACATGTATTAAAACTCAGTACCAAAGATGTATTTGGTTTGGTTAGCTTCCAAAACCATGTGTTTTTGTATTGTGTTTGGAACCCTACCCCTGAAACCTTACGTAGGAAAAATCCCCAATCTTCCGTCTTCCTACACCCAAATTTGTCAGGGAACGTCCTCCCAAGTTATCAGTGGGTGTTCTAGAAGTTCCTCCCCTTTGTAAATTACATACGTTCCCTCTAAGTCCTACTTATATCATACTTATGAACCAGCTTACATATCATAAATCAATAATAATAAACCATATGATTGTAAGCTAATATCATCAACTACCAATATCAATAATTAACCATATATGATTGTAAGCTTGCATGATAATCACATGCATACCACATGTATAATAATTACATATCATAAATATATATATATATACATCACATGTACAATAAACCACCATGTCTGCTCCTTCAACCAGCATTTTTTGCTGCCACCATGGCTCCGTTTATCTTGGAGGCCCGGGTCCACCAGCCCCAGACGGGCCAGGTGGGACCATCCATGGGAAAATCCATGGGAAAATCCGATTTATGGGGATTTATATGAAAAATCACCATTTTGAATAGGCAAATCATCTATAGACCGGCCATTATTAATAGGTAAATCATCATTTATCCCAGAAATATGGTGAAATCCATGAATGATGAGGATTGCAGTTGGGCAGTCATTTGTTTCGCCTTGGTAACCCGACTATTGACTATAGACTATAGACTATAGATATGTTATGATATATCTACCATAAATCCAAGTTCACATTATCAGCCAATTTAGCTAACTATGGGGCAGTTGTAGGAATATGTTTGATTTTCATGGCTCTCTCAAGCAAATCCCAAGAAATATGGTGAACCTTTAGGAGGTAGAATATTCAAAATGTAGTACTAAAGGCTGACATAGCACAGATAGAATGGTAATAGAAAAATCGGGAGCAGATAGAATTTTTACGGAGCAGGTAAATCAACAAGCTGTACCTATATAAAGTACGTCAAGCAAGCGTGTATAAGTTTCAGCAAAAACACATGGGAAAAGTTTTGATAGGGGTGGTTCATTCCAACAAACTCAGGTTCGAGTTGTTCGAAGCGCGTTCGCAACACACTGAAACAATCCAGCCGGGTCTAGCAGTGTTTGTGATTCCTAGGCAAAGACTCTGATAAAATGTGGGCAGGTATGGGCAGGTCCATTATTTTTCATGAAGTGGGGAACAATTCTGATATCCAGAATCTAGTGCAACATAAACTTTTTGTAGGTATCTTATAGAACAAACAATTCCAAATGAAGATCCACATGTGTGTGTGTGTCTGTGTCTTTATGTGCATATGTTTGTCCTATAGTTTATGGATATTTTTGGTGTAATATCTGAAATGATCCATATGATTTTTGCTGCATATTTAATATGTTTGGTGCTTCAGACCCAGTAAGTCCAACTCCTGTTTCCAACATATGTCATGATAAACAAATATAGAAGTAAAGATTGTAAAAACTAGTTAGTCCTGGTTTTAAGAGATTTTCCAACTCAACAGACCTGTTGAACTCTACCACGGGCTTGGCTGTGGGAATCACGTCAATGGTCGCTGCGCTGAAGGGTTCGACGGACAAACTTGAAACCCTTATCAAGAGTACGCATACTCTTCAGCAGGACCTTTGCCGAAGCCTAGAGGCCGTGGGAGCGGCAGTCAACAACATGGCAAGGGCATCAGAATCATTGGCTGCTGGTGTTAACCACAACACCAGCCGCGTGGGTGCGGTCGTTGGTGAATATAACAAATTGAAAAAGCATGTGGAGTGGGCACTGGATGTCTCTATGGCAGACGTGCTCAAGAAAAACAACAAAAGCCGCACGGAACGCGACCAAGCTCTGCAGGATTTGATGACCCAGCTTTTCCCCAAGATGGCAATTAAACATACCCTCCAGTAAATTAACAGCTCGACCCTGGCAGTCATTGGGATTGGAAGATGGGAAGATGAGTTTCAACTAAACAATGACTATTTTCAGGGTCAACAATTTAATTTACCAGAGGGTAACTAGATTAGCTTCTGGTAAACGTTTACATAGCGAACAGGAAAATCACCATGCTATTCATAGGTACACTGAATGTCCATGTTAGTGGAACTGTGACATGTGTCACACTAACATGGACGCTGCAAATGGTGTTTTTTTTTGGGTGCCCGAAGCCAAAGTGGAGCCAACGTGGACCCTCCATCGCAATGAACTGGAGAGTAAATCAACTATTTCTATGGGCCATGTTCAATACAAGGTGGTGCCCCCCCAGTGATGTGAATGTTGGTTTATAATAATCCCATTATATAACTAGTTCGATATATCTACCATAAGTCCTAGGTTATTAGAGTTATGTTCACCAACTGAACGCTATCGAACGGGGGCACCACATTGTAGCAAACTGTCACAGTCATCACCAGAGGGTAACTCGGATTTAGAGTGACGATCCTAATGGGTTCCCAAGCAACTTATGACGGCACCTGATATCATGGTTGATTTAGCCATATGTCACATAGATGGGCCATGGGAAGCTGACGCGATTCCTGTTCACCTTAAACACCATCTTTCTTTGAGGGGGGGTGGTTAAACACAAGCTTTCTTTGGTTCACCTTAAACACCAGCTTTCTTTTACTACTACTAGGTTTTAAGCCCTTCATTCCCCAATCCCCCACCACATCAAAAACTTAGCCTTAGGTTTTAAGCCCTTCACCCCCCAATCTCCCACATCATCATCATCATCATCATCATCATCATCATTATCATCAGCACCATCATGGTAGCAGAGCATCTTGAAAAAGGCAACAACAACAAAAAACAGAAAAGAAGATGCAGAGAATAGAAAGCATGGAAAGAAAAGCTTTGGTTGGCAAGCAATATAAATTATTTTTGGATGGCCAAAATTGAAACTGCCAGGTATGAAGCAAAACTTGAAAGTGGCCTTGATGTTGGCTTTTGTGAGCTGCACCCTGGTGTCAGCAGCTTTGCCTTGCACCCCTCATTTGGGGAGGCAGCTACCCCATGTGGTCCAATGCCTCTTGACGTGTCTTCCCTTAGGGGCCATCTGGATGATGGCCCCCAAAGGAAAAAGCAAAGGAAAAAGCAAGGCTGCAAAAAAGGATGACTCTCCTGAAGACATTGAAGGCGAAGGGGGAGAAGAAGAAGAAGAAGAAGGGCAAGGCAGCGGAGGAAGAAAGAGGAAGAGAAACGCTACTGCACCACCTCCAGGACTGATTTATATATGCATGTATGTTTGTATGTGTGTATGTATCTATCTGTGGAATTACCACCTCCATTACAACCACTACTACTATGACTACTATGACTACTATGACTACTATGACTACTATGACTACTACTACTACTACCACTACTACTACTACTACTACTACTACTACTACTACTACTACTACTTCCAATACCACTACCACTACCACTACCACTTCCACTACCACTTCCACTACCACTACCACTACTACTACTACTACTACTACTACTACTACTACTACTACTACTACTACTACTACTACTACTACTACTATTGCTACTACTACCTCTACTACTAGTACTACTAGTACTATCAGTACTAGTAGTACTACTAGTATTACTGCTACTAATACTACTACCACCACTACCAATTTTAACCTACTACCTTCTACTACTTCTACCGCTTGTTTTTCCATTTCCACCCCTTCTTCCACAGCTTGACCAGGAGACAAGAGGTGCAGGGCTTTAACCTACCAGGGGCACCAATGCCTGCTGCAAAGGAAGCCCAAATCCAAATTTTGCGGCAACCATTCCACTGCCACAGCTCAAAGATGGGGTCTGGCCTTGAGTGACCAGGAGGAAGCCCCAGAAGGCGGTGCTGAAGTTTTTGAAGAGGCTGTGGTGAAGGAGGAGGAGGAGGTCCAGCTTGTGGAGAAGGAGGAGTTGCTGGCCTTTGAGGAGGGGTGTCTGGACATAGGCATGTTCTATGTACCAACCAAAGTGGAGGATTTGGGGGAGATGTCCAAATGGTGGGAAAGTTCCTCCGGCCCCACCTTGAAAATCTTCACTGGAAGGCCACTCCACTTACAACTCTTCCAACATCCCTTGGCAGTCTTCCTACCCATCCCCGAAACTTGCAACCTGCAAGATTTCAAGCACAAGGTTTGCAAAGCCTTGTATGATGAAGGTGTGGAGGTCCCCATCCCCACCTCTCCTCCACTGCAAAACCTTTTCAATGGATGCAATGTGGCCAGAAGGCACATCAAGGCCACTCACCACCAGGTGGCCCATGCCTTGAGGTCGGTGGAGGTGGAGGAGGTTTGGGTAGGGCAATTCGGTGGAAAGGTACCCCTTGACCAGTGGGAACAGGAATTTGGGCATGTCCTTTCCTTGCCCATGAGTCCCTCCATTGCCTTTGACATGGGGTGGTACCTCAAGGACAAATCCTCCATTTACCTATTTGGAATCTCTGGTGGCAGGGGGGAGGTTCAAATAGGGAGGTGTGCCTTGAAAGGATACATCCACCCCATCCTTCCAGGCTTCTCCCAGCCAGATGAGAACATAGTGTGGGGCACACTTGAGCTCAGGTTTACAGGGCCAGCAGGATCAGAGAAGGATAAATTCCTGCAAGCATATTCCCCCATGAGCCATGTGATTGAGGCTTGCGGAGAGTACAAGCTGGTCCAGCCCCAAACAATGAAAAGCCTGCGGTCCAGAAAGCAAGGGGTGATCAACCTTGTTGACACCATGCTGAGCAACCTGGACAAGGTGGGCGGGGCCAGGTTGGAGCAAAGGTCTCCACATGTTGGACCTTCACTGGGGGAAGACTTGGATGTTGCCCAAAACTTGCTGAAGGAGGTGTGCCAATATTTGTCTGAGCCTGCAGCTGCAATTTCCATCAAAAGGATCCCTGTTCCTGCATACAGAGATTTCCTTAAAAAGGAAATGAAGGCTGCAGTTGACAAGGCCACCTTTAAGGGCATGCGTGATTCTGGGCCAGAAACAGAAGAGCAGCAAAAGGCCTTTGGACAGAAGGTCAAGCAGTGGGCTTGCTTAATGTCGAACATCGGCCTATTCTCAGGCCAGTTCGGCAGGCTGATTACAAATGGGCCCAGCTGCCAAAATGCACCAGACTTATCTTTCAGGACACCAAAAAAGCCCACCAGGCCCAGCAAGCCCACAGAAGCCACCCCCATCAAAGCCAAGGCTGTGAACACGCCCATGGCCGTGGACACGCCCAGTGCTGTGGACACCCCTGCCCCTTCAATGGCAAGCCCAGCCACCACCCAAAAAGAAGGCCAAGCTGCAGGTTTGGTGGCCCCTTCGCCAAAGGATGTGAAAGCAGAGGGGGAGCCATGGACCCCAAAGATGCAGAGCATCCTTGATCAGGTCAATTTTTCAGGCAGGGGCAAGGAGGGTAAGTTTGTGGTCTTCCAATATCAGGAGGGGTGGGGGTTGGGGAAGAAGGGCAATTGGAGTTGCTGGTACCCCTCCAAAGAAGTAGCCTGCAGGGCTCTTGCAGCTTGGGGGGGTGATGACGGGCAAGGAAGGTGGTGCTCCAAGCCCAGCAGCCAGACCAGCCCCCAGAGCAGCCTCCAACCCCATTTCTTGCACCAAAAGAGGTTTGCATGAAAGAATCCCCTTCTACCCAGAGGTCCCTCTCTGTCTTGAGCAAACCATCCCCTTCTACCCCCAAACAATCCCAATGAAAGAATCCATTTACTAACTAGTTTTCCCTAACTCCATGGCCCATCTACGTAGCTCTAGGTGAACTCCATCATTCTCGTCCCGTGAGTCCCGTGTGACCATGGCATTTTGGTGACTTGGTGGCTGACCTTCGCCACCTTCGCCGAATTTCGCCGAAACTCACCTGGCGCAACTGGCAGGTCTGCCTCGCTTCGTGATGCTCGTGATGCTCGTGACCGGGAAGGCGGCCCCTCAAGCACATTTAATTGGATTTAATAACAATTATATAATATATAAATATATCAATATCTAGTTATGTATCTATAACAATGGTATTTTAATAAATGGTTCATAGTTATATACTCTATATATTTATAATGGATAATAAGTGTGATTCACCAGCAAAAAATAGGGATTTTTCATGGGATAGGGATTTATATATATAAATGATATATCATAACTGGCTGGTGGTTTGGAACATGATTTTTATGTTCCATTTCGTATATGGGATGTCATCCTTCCCATTGAATATTTTTCAAGATGGTTATTGCACCACCAACCAGCAAGGGTTTATAGTTTGTTTTGCCATCAAATATAGTTGATATGATTGATATATCATATCCCCATAGGATCCATGTATGCTATATATATGGTAACATGAATCCCATCAATATACTCCATTCATGTTAGCATATATACCAGCACCATGGATCCGTCATGGGTATCACGGCTGGTTGATGATTTGTTGGGGTTCTAGTACTCGTTTTACATCTTTTGGGGATTGTCGATGAATGGGGAATCCTAACGATTACATACTGGTGAACATTTCCACTTTAGGATTTGTGGTCAGTGATGTTGTTGCATTTTTGTTTGCATAATACTCTTGCAGTATGAAGATGTACAAAGTTCATACGTGTTTGAGAAATGCGCCATTTTTGCTGACCCAGCAAAAGTTGTTTCTATTCGTTCTAGATTAGAAGCTGAGAAAGCTCGGGAAAACAATACAGAATACGGTCACCACACTCTGAAAATTGTTATAACAAAACTCAAGGCTCGCGTCAGTTTCCCAAAAAACGAATCATCACAGCTGGCAAGCTGAGGTGACGAGCAAGATCTGAAATGTCCAACATATTTCAACACAGGTTGAATGTTGAAATATGGTTAAACAAAGATAACATGGTGTTTCTCTATTGTTCACAACTATCTCCGGTTTGAACTGCTTAAATTGCTTCCATCAATGTACTGGAAGTCATTTGACCAATTCATCAGATGATACAGTAATTCATGGAACCGCTTCGCTTTTGCCTTTCGGTTTTGGTTGTACTAAGCCCGAAGGGATGTATTGCATGGGATGACAATGACCATGGCATACACCTTGGCGTGGCTCATTTTTTCGCAGGCTCCGGCTCCAGTTCTGCCAGATGGAGAGGCGGCGCCATCAGGGGGACCACTGGGGGTTCACCGCGAATCACTGGTGGCCCGTGATATGCACTTTTCACAGATCCAGAATTGGTTCCTGACTCCAATTTTAAGCCTTGTTTCTAGGTCAACCTTGGTTGTGTACTTTAAGACTCCAATACTTTGGCCAGAAAGGGAATAGATTGAAGATAGCCAGTTTTTGTTGATGCAGGGCATTTCGAAGATCATTGTTTCCATTCCTCACTTGAAATTGGTGATGCGTTTTCCTCTCCTACTTGGGTTGAATCACATTGGATCCACTCATGCTCATTTACCACTAGGAAACCCACAATGGCGAGCTTTCAGCTCGCGGCAACACGACCCGGAGTTGATCCAAAAGGGAGGATGTCGCCTATTCCGAAGCGATGAGGCTATTTGTCTCCTGATTGGATCTGCAATCAACCAGGAGTTCGCATGGATCAACAGGCCTTATGAGGTGACGAGGAACGGCTATAACTCCGGGACTCCAAGAAGGCCGGCGTAACAAAAAGAATGAAGTATCAGTTGAACCCATTGGAAAATGCCCAATTAATTGCCATCTGGTTATTTAACATAGCCATGGAAAATGCCCCATTTATAGATGGTTTACCTATTAAAATGCTGATTTTCCATGGCTTTGTTAAATAACCAGATGGTATATGATGGCTATTCATGATTATTCATGTTGATTCCCAACACACCGCAAGATAATCCAAAATATATCGGGACTTGGAACACGTACTACACGTACTATAGCCCCTTTCTATCCCCGATCGATAGAAAATGGTAGTTTAATCCTTTAGTTTTTGCTGTAAATGGAAGATACGAAAAATAACCAGATTTTTTGTGAACTACCAAAGATTGACCATGCGATCATCAACCATTTTTTTTGGCTCTTGAAAGTGTGACAATGCTAGTTTTAAAAATGAGACAAAATTCTGGAAACATCGCAGAAGTCCCTGCTAACTCCCAGATGTTTTTCATGTTGTTTCAATCTCCTGGATGTTCCAGTAGGATCCTTAGCATTGTCCCCAAAATTACGGTTTATACGGTTTATTGATGGCTCTTGACCCGGGTAAGTGGATATAAAGGCTATTAAACCCCACTGGTTGGGGCAACCCAACATGATCATTTTTTCGCTTTGACAAACCCCAATGGTTCGGGATTGTTTCTATTCTTATACCCTCTGGTAAACATACAAAAAACTATGGAAAATCACGATTTTCAATGGGTAGATCCACCATTTCTATGGCCATTTTCAATAGCTATGAATCTCTAGTTAGTGTATTTGTAGGTGATATATCATGATATATCTATAAATGGGTTATATTCCAACCACCTTTATACATACAATGTGAGGCCCCCAAGATAGCTAAGTTGGTTTATAACTCCAATTTCACTCTGGTTTATGGTACGCAACTAACTACAGTTACTGTGGCTTTTGTTAACCAACAAACATCACTGGGGGGCCTCACATTGTATCTATTTTACATACCTAACCGCCACAGTAATCATTGAGCTTGGACCAAATTTTTCGGATCCGAGGCGTCTCGGGCCCACTTGACACTGAACGCGACAAGAAACCCAGGTGCGGATGGGATGGTTCAGGTCGTGATCTCTGGGTCAATGAACTGGTTAAATGATACGAAGCATTATATCAATTGGTATAGCAATGGTATTATAACCCAATGAGATGATAGCAATACTTGGTATTATATCCCAATATCAAGGGATGGTGACTGGTTGGTGGTTTGGAACAGTTTTATACATGTTTTATTTTCCATAAATTGGGAACAATAATCCCATTTGCCTTTCATATTTTTTAGATGAGTTCAAACCACCAACCAGGTAAATATCAATGGTATTGCAAAGATAGCAATGGTATTGCAAAAGACAACTATCGATTAAGGCACATCTCTGTTAGTACAACTTCATCAGGTTTGTGGTTTCAAACATTTTCCATAATGTATGGGATAATTCTTCCAAAATTGACTTTCATGTTTTTCAAGATGGTTAGTGCACCACCAACCAGTCATGTTTTGCTATTGGTAAAATGTACCATCTGGTTATTTAACATAGCCATGGAAAATCCCTTATAAATGGAGGTTTATAGCTGGGAAAATCATCTATAAATGGGCCATTTTCCATGGTTATGTTAAATAACCAGAGGGTAGAATCACCAGCTAAAGGGTGAGATTCTTTGGGGATCCTAAGATTCACCATGATTAAAAAAATGGATGTCCTGAAGGACAAAATGAATCCGTAGACATGGCATGACATGACCATAGGTACCCGGCCTGGTAAACTAACATAGTTATTGAAACTCACCTCACCATTTTGAATATGGTTTAATAGGGATGATTTGCGATAATGTTGGGATAATATTGGGATATTAATGGGTGTATCCTCGTGGTAATTTGTTACGTAGCTATTGAAGCCATGGCCATAGAAATAGTGGATTTATCCAGCTATAAAATGGTGGATCTTTCCAGTTCGTTTGTTGTTCACGTTTACCAGGCCGGGTATTTAAAGTCAAAAAAAACACCCTGAAAACATGGAACCTGAAACTGACCTCCTTCCATCAGGTTTCGGGAGTACCTAAAAATCCTCCAGCGAGTGCCCTTTCTGTGAGGATTAAAGAACTTCGGGAACGCAATGCCTTGCTTGATGCGCCTGGGCTGCGAAAAAGTTTGCAAGTGTGGTGTCTGACCATGCAGAAATATTGGAAAAATGGCGGGAAAATGGTGGGAACATGCTGATTTAATCTAGAAAAGTGGTGATTTCTAGCTGATTTATCTGGGAAAGTTATAGTGACCTCGCCGTGACCTACCTCACTGTGACCTCACTTGAATGAAGGTTGGCAAGGGGAATTATCCCCAAATAGCCCTATTTCAGGTTAGCGCAATGTTACCAGCAACTGTGGGTCCAAGTTTAACCTGGGTCATGTCTTGAATGAATCATCCAACCTTTTAGGTACCCGATTTGGACTCACACGTATTGGCCTGTGTCCAAATTGTTGGGTCTATACACGTGACATACCAAAGATGTGACACCTGACACTCAGCAGCTCCTGTATGATCCTGTTGTTGTAGATTTATTTTTGATGCATCTTTTTTCTAAATTCTGATGCCACAAGTATTATAGATGGAGCATTTGCGCATGGGGTTACTATGCGTTCATCGGAGATTAATTGACAAAGACGCTGAACATACTGGGGTGAATCTGGAAATTAACATCAAATCCAGTAGTATGAAATCTGGGATTGGATTAATCTGGATTTTCATTTGCTGACTTAGAATCTGGGATAAATCTGTCCCTGACAATGAAATCCACTCACCATGCCTCTCTCCAGGCGATGAGCAATGGGCAAGCGCTGCTGGATGCTCAGAACCTGTAGATGCTTTGGTGGCAAACACCTCATTGGATTCTACCATACGGAGGTTTCCTAAGTCATGGGGGTGGTAGCCCTAAATCATCCATGTGACCATTGGATTTTACATAAAGCATCCAGCTATTGGTGATCATTTTTGGAAACCACCGTAAATTCTGAATGGATAGATTTGGCCAACCCATGTGTATCTACCTACCTAGCATTTTTTCTTGCGTTTGTAAAATATGCTTAGTGTTTGATTGATTAGTCACACCATTTGTTGAATCTATCAATAATTGGCTGAATATACCTGAAGTGTGATTAAATCAGAGTAGAATCTACTGCACTGCATTCCAGTAGATTGAGATAGATATGAAAATGCAGCATGTGTACGTCATTTTCCCATTTTTTTAATCTTTGGGTATACCCTTTTTAAACGCAATTTCTGCTGGAGGGTAGAGTTGGGTCAACCAACTCTTTAGATGCGAACAATGGTAACATGAGTCTTTTGCGAACTCAATGGTAACATGTACTAACCTAGGTCAATCTTACATGGATCTTTTGGTTAAGGTTATACAATGTGGTGCCCCCAAGATAGCTAAGTTGGTGAACATAACTCTAATAACTAGGACTTATGGTAGATATAACTGTAGTTACTGGGGCATATAGGGATTGAATACTAGGTCAATCTTACATGGATACTTTAATCCTAACTAGTCTTTTGGTATCAATGGGAATATCTACGTTCACCAGCAAAGAATTTGTCATTTTTTGCAGGGTATCTAAGATTGGCAATGTAACCAGCGAAAATTCATATTTGTTGACAGGTATCTAAGATTCACCAGTGTAAATAGAATGACTAAGAAAGATAGAGGTTATAGATTCACCATTTGGCGAATAGACCCCCTTTTGCAAAGACACCAACAAATTACAACAGACAAACTAGAGGACAAGTGGCCCCAGAGAGAAAGAGAAGACAAGAAATGGAGAAGAATTTCATTTGGATATACAATTTTTATGTATCAAGGATGCATCCAACGGTTTCAACAGGGAAACGCAGTATGTGACTATAAATCGCCTCTACCCGCCCAAGAACACCAAGGCATATCCATCATCGACAGACCTTGGTTGTAGTAGCATCAAAGATTGCACCGCCTGAATTTAACGGAACCTGAATAATGGGCTCTGGAATATTAATCTATTACTCAAAAATGTTAACCCCGGATTAATAAACCCCTAGGCTGTTTGATTGGGGAGGTACCATTTGAGTATTAGATTACCACTATTTGGGGAGTACCCCCCTAATTAATGAGCCACGGTTTATTAATCCAGGGTTGACATTATTGCCCAACTGTGCAGGTTTTTTCACTAGTTAGTTGCACCCCCATGTCTATTCATTTCCATATATTTCCATCCCCACCAGCCATAGGCTGTCTAACTGTCTAAGATTCGGCATGGGAGCAATTTCAGAAAATCATGGAACGGGGGTTGTACTACCCTTTATATATTGGGGATTATCACAATCCATGGAACGTTGAACACCAGTGAACACCAACCATCATGAAAATATGTTCTGGCCTTTACCCAGATATTGTAATATATATTTCATCACCAGTTGGTTTTATGTTCCAATTAGGAATCCCCAGCATATTCCCAGATATTATGGCTTTTACCCAGATGATTTGGAGATTCGCCAATGATAATCAAGATGCTACGATGAATTGTCCAATGATCAGCAGAATCTTGCCAGATCAACCCGTTGGTTATTTGTGATGTTACCCTCTGGTAATTTGCTACAGTTCGCTATTGGAAATGGCCATAGAAATAGTGGATTTTCCCAATAAAAATGGTGATTTTCCATAGTTATGTTAGTTTACCAGAGGGTACAATATGTTCAACTGGTGCAATGTGGAATGAACCATCTTAATCAACAACTCTTGGATCCAATGCAAGACACATTCATTAGTAATGCATTAGGATATATCCCCACTAAACTATTCCATGATTGGCGATTTGTCTCATTAATCCATGTCATGCTCAAAGTGGTGCCCCCCAGTTATAGGTTGGTTTACAATCCCATTAACTATAGATATATCTACCATAAGTCCTAGTTATTGGAGTTATAAACCAACTTAGCTCTCTTGGGGGCACCACATTGTGAAGATTTGCACCCCCTTAAGGCCCAAAAGCCGCTCAGTGTCCCAAATCTGGCTGCGGCTGCACGACATGTGCGGAACTTAGCAACTCGTGGGCCTGGCCTTGGTTAAACAGTTAAAGCTTGTAGGTCCTACGTGGGGGGGGGGGGCATCCCACAATTATAATCCCAACTTAGAATGTGGTGCTCCCAAGATAGCTAAGTTGGTGAACACAACTCTAATAACTAGGACTTATGGTAGCTATATCTATAGTGCATGAATTAATGGGATTATAAACCAACTTATAATTATACCCATAGGATCCATGTATGGTTTATATACTAACATTGGAGGTATATTGATGGGATCCATGTTACCATATATAGCAGCACCATGGATCCTATGGGTAATCCCAACTATGAACTTGTGGTGAAATCCCCATTTTTCCCCACCTGCCAGGTGAGGGTTGTTAGATTTTATGTCAGTTGCCTCCTCCTCCTCCTCCTTCTCCTCCTCCTCCTCCTCTCCTCCTCCTCCTCGTCGTCCTCGTCGTCCTCGTCGTCCTTGCTCAACTGCGACCCGCGATCCACAGTGTTCTCTGCCGGACCTCAACCACGACCATCCACGCCCAGTGTTCCCTGCCGGACCTCAACCACGACCATCCACGCCCAGTGTTCCCTGCCGGACCTCAACCGCGAGTAACCACGACCATCCACGCCCAGTGTTCCCTGCCGGACCTCAATCGCGAGTATCCACGCCAAGTGTTCCCTGCCGGACCTCATGTAGGAAGATATGGGACAAAGAATGTGCAGAAGAAAGTTAGAAAGAATGTCAGAAAGAATGTCAGAAGATATGCCAGAAGATATGCCAGAAGATATGCCAGATAGAATGCCAGATAATATGCGAGAAGATATGCCAGATAGAATGCCAGATATGCCAGAAGATATGCCAGATAGAATGTCAAATAGAATGTCAGAAGATATGTCAGATAGAATGCCAGAAGATTTGCCAGTAAGAAAACGTATAAATGTCATGGTGGGGATCACACGAAGTAAAGTAATTTATTTTTTTTTGTAAGCCCATGAAAATTGTCATCAATTAGTAATAAGTGTTAGTTAAATCCCCAGTTGAAATCATTACTCTCAACTTGCCCTAGACATATCTAGACATTTTGGTGCTAAATCCAAGAGATTGGGGATGTAATGGGCCTAGAATCGGGGTAGATGTGGGAAGAGAACCTGGGATTTGTTAGCTCATTGTAATGGGAGTGATCCCGTCCCCTGTTCATCTGCACCCCGTATACTACCAGAGGTCTACTAGGGGATGAAACCACAACTGGGACCATAGAGACTGCAAGGTGGTGCCCCCCCAGTGATGTTTGTTGGTTTATAATCCCATTAACTATATAGTTCAATATATCTACCATAAGTCCTAGTTATTAGAGTTATAAACCAACTTAGCTATCTTGGGGGCACCACATTGTGGGGATGTTTAATATGTTGGGACCTGTTGGGATTTGTTTTTTTAAGTTAAGTAAATACAATAAGCCATACATAACTGGTGTACATCCCTTATAACTGGATTATCATAGGGTTATTGCACACTGAGTAGGATATACATCCTAGTCATATGCCCTTGGCATATAACTGAGGGGAAGGTTCCACATCCTGCTAGACATCTTCGTTGTAGGGCCAACCATGGCAGGTTTTTTTTTCTCACCTCATTCTCCCCAACCGACTCCCTAGGTATAAAACTGGCGAATTTGCTGATGAACGTCCTCTTTACATCCTCTATGAATCGTGTTTGGATGGGTAAATCATCCATAACTGGTGGGATGTTCCAGCGTTTGATGACACCAGAGGGTACAAAATAATACAAAATATATAAATCCCACAGTATGTCCCCTCTCATCCTTTGCACTTTTCTGAGGCATAGAGAGTTGGAGGAGAAACGCGGTGCTTTGGCGGAAAAGAAGCGGAAGGAGGCGCCCGGTGCATGCTGAAACGATGGGGACTTCAAGCCACAGAAATGCTTCTCTCTGTTAAACATATGCAAAAAGCTATTGAGAATGGTGGTTTAGCCTCAGAAACCTTATAGAAATAGTTGATTTACCCATGAATAGCATGGTGATTTTCCATAGTTTTTCGTTAACGTTTACCAGGGGGTATGATAAAAAGGATTTATAATCCATAAGTTTAGGATTTAAAAATGACAATACGCGTGGATTTGAGGACTTTTTCGGGTTAAATCCTGCAGGGATTTCATCAACACTGAGTCTGGTGGAAGGACTGTGGGTTAGCCCCGGAATCCAAATGGATAGCCTCTGGTAAACGTTTACATAGCCATGGAAAATCACATTTTTTAATGGATAAATCATCTGTTTCTATGGTCCATGGCTTCCATAGCTATGTAACAAATTACCAGATGGAAACCCTCTGGAAAACATACGAAAAGCTCTTGAAGCCATGGTCATTTAGACATCGTTGATTTACCCATGAAAAATATGGTGTTTCTCCATAGTTACATGTAAGTTCGTTTACCAGAGGGTATCCAAATTGACCAAATTTGTGGTCCATGGCTATTCTGATTTTGACCTTTACAAAGTGGTCGCTGAAATTTGGCATGGTTTACTTTACCAATCTAAGTGTAGATGTTGTCACCATAAACCCGCACTGATTTTAGCTATAGAATACTATAAACCAATAGAAACTTATCTTCGGGTCCCCACATTGCACCCCGTACCATCTTTTACCACAGTTCTGTCTCCGTATTTGGGGTAGTGAGTTTCCCAGTATTTGTAGCTTAGATACCTATTTGGGCAACCCATGTTGTTTCTCAAATTTTCAGCAGTTGGATTTTCATTTTTGTTCGGATTAGTTGTTTCTCCCTTATACTTACATTACAATGTGGGGGTCCCCAAGATAGGCCAGCTGGTAAACCAAACTAGGCTAAGAATTGGATTCATTCTAGATACATCCGCAGTTGGGACGCGAAGCAAGGACAGCACTTAGGTCAGGGAATAGATTGCTTGGTCCCATTCCCTCTATGTTGATCTCATATAATCCCATCACCTTGCCCATGTCCCATAGAGACAAACATTAATATAATCTATCCATATCTATCCCATAGTAAACATTAATATAATCTATGGGATAGCCATAGTCTTTTGCTCGTAAAACACCATTTGAAACAAGCATTTCGGATGGTTTTACCCACTATTTCCCATAGGTTTTTCTGGTAAAACCATGGTAGTCTCCATCTAAAGTCACCAGACTTCCGCCAACTTCCAGGTGGAAGAACAGGAACTCATGATCCGCTTGGAGTATCGCCCACCTAGGCCCAGAGTTGAGCAGTTTTGTTCCCAAAAATGGGGTGCGGATTCCTGAAATAAACATACAAAAAACTATGGAAAATCACCATTTTTAATAGGTAAACCCAGGTAAACCATCTATTTCAATGGCAATTTCAGGAACCAATTGATTGGAAGTACCGATTACAGGGAATATCACCACAAAATATGGTCTTATATGGCACAGTACCTCCATTTTAGGATCCTGAAATTCCCATTGAATGATGAATGCAAACACTGGTTTGCATAGGGAAAATTAATGGGAAAACCATGATTTTACATGATGATAGAACAATGAAACCATCGGATGATTTTTTGATTTTATGATTATCTGGAATCGTGGAACATGTTTTGTTGCTGACATTCGCATGTTTGTTGTTGAATTCAAACTTTCGATTGGATATACCGTAGATCCAAGTAATCCATTAAGAAATAACAACAACTATTGATTCGTTATCAGTTATGGACATGTTGTGCCCCATAAATTACGGTGGGAGGAGAGAATACGGGTATATCCACTGACAAATGTGATTTCTCAAATAGAATGGTCCATTGCTGTGCTTGATTCCCAGAGATCATTGAATTTGGTGGCGGGTCAAGATCATGACAATCCCTGCCTCTGGATGCTGAAGACATTTGCAATTTGGTTTATAGATGTTTATAGGGGTTATATCCCAACTGATGGGGATATCCCTGGGGTTTTAAGTATGGTTATAAATCTGAATGACCATGGTTTATACAACAACTGTAGCCATTTTAATGGGAATCATTTTGATGAACCATTGAATCTTGGAGTTCCCTAGTTTTGGACAAACCCAAACGATGCTGAATACAAGGGGCAACCAACCCACATGGGTTTCGTGTCCAAGGTGGTCGCCTTTCACTTATGGCCTAGGGCAAGTTTTTGGGGATTCACATGCTGGAATTTGCATCGCTATCAAACAGTGAAGGACTAAAAGTTGATAAAAATTGAATATGAACTATATGAACTGATCACAAAACAACGGTTAGAGACTCACAGTCGGCTTTTCCGCATCCGCCGGTTGAGTGCCATGGGCGCTGTAAAGATTGACCACTCGGATAGGGCCCAGCATCGGGCCGGCATCATGCAGCAGTTGCGACGATTCTGGATGGACGACCGTCTCTGCGATATGAAGCTGAAGAGCCTTGATGGCACAGTGCATCCGGCCCACACGGCTGTGCTATTTGCTGCCAGCGTTTATTTCCAGAAAATGCTGAGTGGGTCGTTCCTTGAGGCAGACATGGCGCGACAAAAGGAGCCAGTGGAAATCGGTGCATCCAAAGCGGCAGTGTCTGCATTGCTGGACTACATCTATGATGGGCAGCCTGAAGTACCAGTGGAGGTTGGTCTTGAACTCCTACGACTGGCAGAGGCTTACGACCTGCCAAAGCTAGCAGGTGACATTGAGGCAGGCATCCTTGCCTGCTTGGACAGTAGTGTTGCCCTGCAAGTTCTGCAAGAAGAACACGGCCTTCATTCTTTGAGAGATGCATGTGAAGATAAGGTTGCCGAAGAGTTTGAAACTTGCAGCCAGCATTTAGATTTTGGGAAGCTTGGTGCAAGTCAGCTGGCTCGAATTTTGAAAAGGGACGATCTGGGTGTCTCACGGGAAGAAGCAGTAGTGAGCGCAATATTTACCTGGAACAAAATGTCCAAGGACGCGCATGCCTTTCGCATGTTGCTTCAACATGTGCAATTTCAATCACTTTCGATCGAGAATTTGTTTCGCCTTGGCCGTGCAACTCTCTCTGGTCTGAGTGGTGGCGACCTGCAGCGGGAAGTTGAGGGCACATTGGCCTCCCGAAAGAGAACCCAAAATCCAGGTACCTTTCAGTCGAAGAGGCGTCGCTTTCAGCATTGGTCCCCATTTTTGGGTGCCAGCACTGCCAGCATTGAAGCTTCAGGACGAGAAGTACTACCCTTGCCTTGTCTCTCTTTGGGCTGGCACGAAGGTGAACTTTTCGCTGTGCGCTTCAGTAGCAACTGCAAAATCGTTTGTTGGAAGCGTGGTGACCCTCCAACATGCGTGCGACGTGTTGCAGGTGAAGGCGCGACTGTGGCTGGAATCAACGACTTGGGAACTTGTCATGACCTGTCAATCTCGCCCAGCGGCGAAATTTTCGTGATGGATGGTGAGAATCAGAGGCTTGTCCGTTTTCAAAGTGGATCGGGGCACTTAGTTGTTGACAACGTTGATGATGCTTGGGACTTGTGCCACTCGCCCAACGGCGTGCTGTATGTGGTGAGCCAGGATGGGAGAACAGTGCAAAAGTTGGTGGGCTCGGCGCTCGAGACGGTGATTGCCTCCGAAAGTCTTCACGCAGACAAGCAGTTCGAAGCGAAGCGGGTGTTTGTAACGAAGGAAGAGGTGATCTATCTCCTGGATGTTCTGAATGAGACACACCGCGTTTTGTCCATCAATCCAGCTGAGTCATTGGAACCTGTTGTGGCGGGCCAAATCCCAACTGATGGCCCGTCCTCCCTGATGGACTTGTTTGTAACTGACGGTGGAACAATCTATGTTGCTGACTTGTACCAAAGAAAAGTGTTGGCCTTCCACCCAGGCAGCGGAACTTGTACAAAAGTCTTGCAGTGTCCAGATGGCTTGCACCCTTTGGCAGTGTTGGTCCAGGACAGTTCGTTGTATGTGAGCATGGTGGAAGAGACAAGCTGGCATGAGGACCCTAATGACCCCAAAGTTGGGTCTGTTTATGAGTATGTACTGCCCCCTGAGCTTCAGCTTGAGTGAAACAGTCAGGTCTGGAATTCCCGGGGCTTAGTGAGGCATGGGCTAACATTAACGTTCATAGCTTTCCATCCTACCTTGGATGACGAGCCTACGTGACTTATATATTTTCAGCATTGAAACCACTAACAAAGACTTGGAGGCTACGAGCATCTCAGAACAGACTACTTGTTCATGTTGAAATGCTAAGGTATCGTAGTGGTGGCCCAGTCCTTGACCCTGAATTTGGCGATAAATGGCACCCCAAGACGGACCCAGGAGCTTCAGCCATCATTTATGGGGGTATACACTGAGCTAAAAACTGCTTGGAACTTCATCCGAAAAATGGCTGCACGATTGCAGCTACAGCGAACAATGCTTGGGGGTCACCCATCCACAAAGACATACAGAAATCCATTACCTGAGGTTTGTTGCTTCACCATAGTTCACCCAGTTATACATACAGCCATATATGACCGTGCCTGAAAATGGGGTCCAGCCCTAGATGCGCCTACTTTCAGAAACCACATATCAAGTTATATCCCCCATGATAATGTGGGTTTGATTTTATATCCTGGGTGGGATATAACTTGATATGTTTGATATAACTTATGTAACTTTTAGACCCAATATCTCCTATACTTGTTTTATGACCCCATATAAATTGTTGGTTTGATTTTGTCACAAAAAGGAATCATATGACCTACTTAGATGGGCCATGGGAAGCTGACGCGATTCCTGGTTAGTAACTGGGGATTTCATAAAACCCCCAAACAATCCAATCCCAATTTGTTGATCCATTTACTAACTAGTTAACTAACATAGCTATTGCAAATGGCCAGCTATAGTTGATTTTCCCATTCAAAATGGTGATGTTCCTTAGTTTCTTGTATGCTTACCAGAGCATTTACCGGAAACCCTTCAAAAATTGATGGTAAAAACCCATGGTTTCTGGTTAAGATTTTCCCAAGAAAACCAATCCAATGATAGCAGTACCATCCGTGACATCGCAGGCAAGCTCAGATGTCTGAGGTGGCTCCGCCAGGAAATATGGCATCTCCAAATGGGTTGAGCCAGGTAAATCAATGGGGAATCTTTACTCATCAACCAGGAGTTTTGATCGGGGATTTTACTAGCTATTTACTTGGGGATTTTGAATGCTTTTGATCAGTTGGTGCCCCAGTTTGGCAAAGCCCTGGTGAATATAACTGCAAAAACTCTTGAGTCGATGGTAGATTTATCGAACTGGTTAGTTGGGGTCACAAAGCAACTTAGAACTAGGGACTGAAACTACCTATTTTACTGGAGATTATGATAACCCACAGTAGGGAAACCTATCTACCAACCAGTTTGATCAGATGTGATAGGGGCATTTGTTCTGGTTGTGGTTTCATGAAGGGGCCCAAACAAAGGGAAAATGCATGTAAACGACGATGATTTAATCTTGATTTAACGAGTTGAAAATGAGATTCATTGAAACCAATATGTTTTGTGCATATGTTTCATGTGTTTAAACTAGGATTTCTCGTAGAAATATCTACAATTAGATGGGTTTATCAATAAACTTAGAACTGGGGGGACCTCCTTCTTGGTGATTCTATGGTGGGATTTTCACCGCCAAATATATGTGTTGTCAGGTCGTCCTGTTGGGATGACTGGCGAAACCCAACTGGGGTAGACTAAATTTGCCAACTGGTTTGGAACATGGCTTTTATGACTTTCCATTCAGTTGGGAATATAATCATCCCAACTGACTTTCACATTTTTCAGAGGGGTTGAAACCACCAACCAGATTAGTGCTAGGATAACTTTTCCAAACTTGCCTTACTTCAGGTTGGTTCACCTGAAATTTGTGGGAAAACGTATTAGAACTACTAGGGAATCAGAATTTTCCCTGTATTGGCAGTTTCCATAAATGGGGGTATCCAAAATCCAAAATGGATGGTCTATACCCTCTGGTAAACATACAAGAAGCTATTGAAAATCACCATTTTGAATAGCGGTAAATCAACTATTTCTATGGTACATGTTCAATAGCGAACTGTAACAAATTACCAGAGGGTAATGGAAAATCCCACTAACATGGATGAGAACTGGGGGTACCCCCATGACTTAGGAAACCACCTATCTATCAAGATGGCAAGTCGTGGGGACCCAATTTGTTCACAGAAATTATCTGGTAGGTGGTTAACCAGTCCTAATATGGTTCATAGTGGTTAATAGTGGTTAATGAGATATCTGGTTGGTGCTTTGGGACCATGGAATTTTATGACTTTCCATTCAGTTGGGAATTTCATAATCCCAACTGACGAACTCATATTTTTCAGAGGGGTTGAAACCACCAACCAGATTATGGTTAGTAAATCTGAGCAAGTGCAATGCTGAATTGCTAAATCTCAGCCCGGATAGTGACTGAGTAAGTGGGATGAGGTGCCATGGATTTTCATGGGAAAAATGCATGACCTGAAAATTCATGGTCATTTAAGGGGGCTGCCACCTCTGTGATATACTGGAGATAGAATGGGATCATAGAGATATCATATGATATTTGGGTTTGATTGAAAAACGATGGTAGTTTAACCATCAACAGCTAGGATTCAAACAATGAGTAGTGATGACCATAGATATTCAGGTGTTTCTGACAATTGGATTTCTTGATGTGTTCATACTAATTTCATGTACCGGAACAAAGGACAGCAGGCGATTGACGCATGGCCATCTTTCTGACCTGACACATCGTAACCACACTACGGAGATGTTTCCGCGACAAAGATCAAGGTTGCTCCAACCTCTACTTGGATGCGCATCCCACGAATTGGATCTGTATTGAAAATGGCCATAGGAAAAGTTGATTTACCTATGAAAATTGGCGATTTTCCATAGTTATGTTAGTTTACCAGATGGTATCGAAAAAAAAATAGATTGTGGTCCAAAAAGATGGGATCTGCCAATCAAACCTGTGGTTTCATCAACATAAACACCATAATTTCATGAACAAAGATGCAGAAACCTTGAGATTTCGGGAAAGAACCTGCCAGTCTGAGTTGTCATCCCTGCTGTTCGGAATGTGTTGAAACACCAGCGGTGAACACAACTGGGTGAATTCGATGGTTTAAAGTAGATATATCGGACTAGTTAATGGTGTGGCAACCTTGCAACTGATTTAACTGTTTTTTTGCTGGATATCTTCATCTATGCAAATGCATATTATCCATAGTGAGGTGAGCCGACTTGCAGCTGGGGGCCCTTGTGGTGGAGTCTGGTCCATATCTGCAACAAGTCACCATGTAATCTGGAATGGGTGTGTCTGAAAATATGCTAGGTCAATCTTAGATGGGTACTTTAATCCTCTAGTCTGTTGGTATCAGTGGGAATATCTACGTTCACCAGCAAAGATTTTTTTTTGCAGGGTATCTAAGATTGGCAATGTATGGTATACCCCCAATTGAAAGAGCCATTTAATAGGGAAAATGATCATTGACCCATTGGGTTTAGGGGTACACTATTTTCAGACAAACCCAAGTAGCATTTTACACAGCTGTGTCACCAATAATCTGTAAATGGTTGTATTTAACCATTGAACATGGCGGTTTAATATGCGCTTTATTGATAGGTAAGTTAGTTTCTAAGTGATATAACTGGGATTTATGGTGGACAGATCTATAATTAGAAAAGACTGGCGCCAATCAAAAAAACTACGGTGGCCCCCTTCCTGCAGGATGCCGAAAGTTTCATAACTGGGTGAACTAATCCCAGGTGAACCTAAATCCTTAGTCATGACAGTTCCGTGGTGTGTAGATTTTGAATAATTAATTATATAATTTATAATAACTCTATTTATTGACATTTGTCTATTTCTATATGCGTTTCTTGTCAGGTTTATATTTCTATTCTGACGTCAATGTAAACAACTGTTATGGGCCCATCATGAGAAAGTCCGCCAAGATCAAGCTCGACCCGCAGACCGGTTAACAACATCGGCGCGGCGAAGACATAACATGACTGCAGGGCTGCTGCGCATCGGAATACGACTGGATGGCTACTTTGGTGCTAACTAATCTTTGGCCATGAAAAGGGATATATTTATGTTTATATATACATTTATATATATATATGTAGACCTAGATGTTTTTGATTTTTATATATGTATATAAATACATGTATATCAACTAGCTTTCGAGAACTGCAGGGTATCTGAGACTGCTCATGTTCTATATGACGAACGTTCAAACTGATACGCGTGGCTGGGATTCGGGGGGACGCCGGGACAGCAGGGCGTTTTTGGGTCGCTTGGGCACAATTTTGGCGTTGGATGCCTGCCGCGTCTTGCTTGGCAACAGCGCATGCTTGTTTGACCAGCTCAGTTGCTGGACGCAGAATCCGTTTGCAAAGATATCTAATCTGGTGGGGCGGGCCACAGGAGTGTATGGAGTTGCGCCATCTGGACCACCCGGGAGGGTGGTGATCACCGAGATGGTGTCAGCAATGACAATGACAGATCTGGTACAGACTATGGATCCAAGATGCAAGCTTGGGGTTTGGATGCGTTTGGTGTTGGTCTCTTGAAAGCAATGAGAATTCAATAAACTTTTGTGAAGAAGTATCTCACCAACTTGGGCAGATGGTTTCCCAGGAGGCAAAACAGGGAAATTCACATTATCAGCTCCCCAGCTGCCATCAGGTAATTCAAACTATAGTGGTGATGCGTCGGTCATGTCGAAATTGGTACGGCAGGTGCAAGTCATTGCCTCCAAGTTGCACGGCCAAAAGGCTGAACTCGAGGCACGGACGGGTGAAAATCAAGTTTCATTAATTTACCCTCCGGTAATAAAAAACAATGGGAAATTCTCTAGACATGGGTGTTTTATATGCTTTAATGGGCATATAAGTTATAAATGAGGGATTGTCCCTTGCCATGTTTGATAATTGGCGGATGCGCACATGAACATTCACACTTGTTTGATTTCACGATGTTTCATGGTTTTTCCCAAAGATTTTACGTTTTCATCCCACTATGTGGGTGCCATGATGCCTTCAGTTTGCATCATGTGCTCAAAGGAAGGACATGTGATTAAAGTGTCACATGTTCTTGTGGTGTAAGAAAAATATCTAACCATTGCTACCCACTGCCTGTTTTTGAAGACCTATTTTCATTTTTCAAACATAAATGCATCTACCATGCATTGAAATATGTTGAACCACCATATCCATTTACGACTTCAATGTGTTTGAGTGTTCACTGGTTTGTCTTGCAGTTGGTCGTGTGGATGCATGTCGCAGATATATCAGAAACCTAGCTGTGTTTTTTGTTGCTTCTTGAAATGGAATAAATGTAGATACATCGGAGACCTTTGTTTTCTCGTTAAAACAGAAAAAACCTGACAAAACATTTGAATTCTTGGGCGGTCAGCCAAATATATGAGCGTTCCTAAAATATATTCTTAAGAGATCCGATGGTTGGGGGTTTCCCCGCATTTGAGCGAATTGATACGAGGTGTTTGTTTACTTGTAACAATTTGGGTGACACTCTTGTCACGACGCGACCGCGCGTTGTATCACGAAACCTTTGCAGCGCAGCACCACAGGAGAAACGCAAAGCAGCCGCGGAGGCATGGTGACGGAGTCGAAGTGTGATACCCTGTATTGGATCCACGTAGAGGGGAACGTGTCGTTTTTAGGGAACTCTGAAACTGAATAACCCCTAAAAAAATTAGGAACGCAAAAAGTATGTACCTTTCAAGGTCCTAAGGACCCAACAAGTACATCAAGAGAAGACGCACTTTTTAGGACCAAATACCTAAAAATCAATGTGGTTGCGCGTACCTTTTGAGACCACTTTCAACGGAAATCCTGGGACCTCAAAAAGTAGGACCGCTGACTTCTAGGGTCATTCCCACAAGGGGTCAACAAGGTTTATGAGTTTGGTGTTGACATAGGGACATTAGGAGCACAGATAAACCATGAAAAACCCAGTGTAGGTCCATGGGATGCTGATGTTGTATACAGAAATTGAATACCTGCTGGACAGAAATCGTACTTGTTGGACATTTTAATATACTGTAAATCATTTTATTTGCATGTGGTAAATAAACAAACAGTTAAATAATTGTTAAACCGGTCTTTGTTTTTTGGGTACTTGTATGGTTTGAGAAGGTTTAGGTACCTTCGGCATGGTTGATAATAAGGTAATTGTCACATGTTCTTTAACTTTACCATCCTGGTTGGCACGACGACAGATCTCTCCAGTACACATGTCGTGACCTGGAGAATCTGTTCAAGCACCCGCCTGACAAGACGATCAGGAGTGCTGACGCAAGCGGCTGGGACCTTAGCGTCAACGCGGACCAATTTTGGTCCGCGTGGCGCTACAGGGTTGACCTCGCATCCTCCGAGGACCACAAACTGTACTTGAGAGTCAATGGGTACTTTCAGTGCAGCTATGTAGTTTACGACGGGGAAAGCCTGTGGGAGGTCGTGCGCCACGGAGTTACAGCAAGTGGCAAATCGTGGACCACAGCTTGTAACTGCAGAGAGAGAAGCGATGGCCTTAAGGCTAGTCAGCTTGTAGCTCTCATCGGTGGTGTCAAGGCATTGGAAAAACTGTCCTTGCAAGAGATCAAGGCTCTTGGGTCCTCTGTAAAATAATTTGTTCAATGGTTTTTACAGTCCCTTCAGGACCATGTGCCTTTGCATTTTGTAGTAACCCTAGATCATATATGTTTTCAGATTCAAGCATGGACTGGGTCATAGTACTTTGTAGTGGTTAGGTATGCGAGATAATAGTCGACCCAAAATGCATATCTGAGTTCACTCAGATTTGCCCTAAAAGTACTTTGTAGTGAATTTGTGTGGGGTTCCACGTTCAATATTAGTATTTCCCCAGAGTAGTTTTCAATCTAAATAATAGTAGGCCGTTGCAGTTTGTGGAAAAGGCATTTTCGCAGTGCTAGAGTGAAATCACTGCTGAATTTGCGCTGTCACGTCTACTTCGACCCAGCAACTGAGAAAAACATGCACAACACACACGCACACAGACCAAGGATTGGACAATTCAGTTCGATTGATGCTCCCACTCTGCTTTTCACTGCAAAGCCAACCAACACCGCACAAACATACCCTTCAGTTACACTGGCTGCTGCATACCCAAAGCCGAAAAAGGTCCACTACAAAATCAAGTTACAGCGTTCCAATGCTACAAAATCACCTTCAAGAACTCTTTGTCCTTCCCCTATGGCATTCCCCTATGGCAACCACCATCAACCACCTACTGTCATCGATCGTCACAAGACCACACATGACCAGGTTTTCTGGCGCCTGCATTTGTTATTTAATGTCTTTCTTTCAAAAGGCAGTTCTGTTTTTTTGCCCAAATCAGAATCACGACTTTCTGGACTAACACCGCTTGCTGTTACTTACAGATATGCGTCCATGTCCATGCAGCTAGATTCGGAGATGTGTGGAAGAGCTTCAGGGGTTTCGCTTGGGTGTTGCTGCGCTGTATTTGGGACATAGTAAGGCAAAACAGAAATCAAATGAACATTGATGCGCAACAAACTACAACAGCAAAAACACGTGCCCTTTAAAGTGCCCTGACCGAAAGCCAATTCCAGTCACTACAACATGCAACTAAAAAAGCAACACCATCTTGCAGGATCTCTTCTCACATGAAAAAACCTGATTTTTGTAGGTATGTGGGTCTGTGACTTCTCTTGTATCACGATAAGCCCCACTACAAAATGCAAACGCTAAAAAACGAGGCATTCCAATTCGATCAGTGGGATCTACTTAAAAATCACTACAAACATCTAAGTGTTTTTAAAGAGGATCTTGAAGGGCCTCTTCTCAAATCCCTTCGTTTTTTTAAGTAACCCTTTATCCAGGCGCAGGCTCGGTTGCACTTTTTTAGCGATTTTTTTAAAGCTTGTGCATGGATAATGTAGTGTTTGGGGCTGGGCAGCACCACTTTACAGCCACAAAACCATGACCCAACAGTCATCCCCAAATACCAGCCCCGATACTTTACCGGTTATTTCAACTCTATCACTCCTATCATCCCATGTTAAAGCGGTTGCAGGGGCAACAGGTTGTGTTTGGTCGAAATGTTGTTTTGGAGTGCCTAAATGGCTGCAAAGTGGGGCCCCAGAGTCATGAGTTAGCTAATTCATATCCACAATTCAATATGGGGATTGGTTAAAACATGTTCCGTCCAGCCCGGACGTACATGTTAAAACAAATGAAATTCCCCAATAAATAGTTGTGATTTATGGGTGGTAAACACAAAAACACCTGGGATTTGTAGATGTAGATGGCCGTTCATCCCCCAACAATATGTCGTTTTTGAGGGTGTTGACATGTTTTGACACATTTTCAAATACGTTGGCTGTCTTCAAGGCATCCAATTGTAGATAACCATCAGCTCTAAAAGACATCTACTGATTCTTCGGGGAACCCCACCTCCTAGGTGAGGTATCCATTGGTTTTTTGGTAAAAAAAACATGGATGTAAAAAGTCAAATTGTCAAATTTGGATACTTTTTTTTTAGTCCCCGGATGACTTAGATCCTGGTTTATGTGGGTCCGTTTGAAAAGTACCCACGGTACCCACGGTACCCTCCCCATCAACGGCCCCGTGGGATCCCCTGCCGTTTCCCCTTGCCGTTTCCGCCAGGAACGCGAGAAGTCCTTGGCGCAGATCTATTGCTTCGCACCCACCCTGTCGGCGAGGACCAGGCAAGTCGTGTTGGTTCGAAGCAGGGGAGGTTAATAATAGTTACTGTAATGATGGCGTTAATGATGGTTAATGATTGTTAATAATGGTTAATGATGGTTAATGATGGTTGATGATGGTTAAAAAATAGTTAATGATGGTTAAATGATGGTTAATATTTATTAATGATGGTTAATGATGGTTCATAATAGTTAATAATGGTGAATGATGGCTAATAATAGTTAATGATGGTGAGTGATGGTTAATAATAGTTAGTGATGGTTAAATGATGGTTAATAATAGTTAGTGATGGTTAAATGATGGTTAATAATAGTTAATGATGGTTAATGATGGTTCATAATAGTTAATGATGGTGAATGATGGCTAATAATAGCTAATGATTGTTAAATGATGGTTAATAATAGTTGTTAATAATAGTTAATGATGTTTAAATGATGGTTAATGATAGTTAATGATGTTTAAATGATGGTTAATAATAGTTAATGAGGATTGATAATAGTTAATGGTGGTTAATAATGACCAATTCAATTTGACCACGTATTGTCGATGAAAGGTCAGACCATCAGCTAGATTCAGAGCATGCGTATACTTGTGAGCGTCAGGTGGTTCAAATGCAGAACCTTCCTGCGACTGTGTGATAGATTGATTGCTTCAGGCATTTTCAGCCCAAGGCATGATTTTTCATTCAAATACTTGTTCTTTAGGGTACAGTTCAGTTTTTGACCCCGGCTTATGGCATCTTTAACGGAGGTTCAATGGGCTGTTTGCACTGATATTACCCCAAAATTCATCCCATTTACAATCATCTCCTTGAGAGAGAACTCTGACTTTGTACTCAGTAAGGACTCCGTAAGGTCAAACATCTAACTTTGTTCCAACTCAGGATGTACATTCCTTCATGCATTATAACAACTTCTTCACTTTGGTATCATCAAAGGATTGAGTGTCCTCTAAGACTTCAACTTTATACTGACAATTTTACTCGCAGTGGATTGCTATGGCACCGAAGAAGACTGTCTCCCATTTGGCTCCTCCATTGGCTTTGGCATCTGCTCGTAGTAAGAAGAGAACGAGACCAGCACGACATCCTGTACTCCCCAGAAATATGAGTAGACGAGTTGCCTCTCTTCGTCATCTGTCTCTAAGATTCGGCCTTTTGCGGAACCAAATTCTTTATGGGGTAGAATCGGGTAGAATCGAGTAGAACATACCCCCTATATACGAGCAGGACTCGCAGGACAGCTTTTTCGCTCATAGAGAGGCTCCCATTGATGATCCAAGGGACTTTTCGGTTTTTGGATGCTGAACGTACCATACGTGAAGCCACTATGTATTCAGAACCTGGAGATCACGGAGCATGGAGGCGTTGCTATTGTGCAGCCGCCTACCCCAGGTTGGTATTTAAGTTGGCGACGGACCACTCCAACCACGTTCTAGAGAACGACATCTTCCGTGACTACCCTGAATACTGCACCCAGTGCCTGTCGCTTTGTTCGCTCCTTCTCAGCCATTAGATAATCAATCGTTTGAAAGTCAGGACCGAACGAGCGAACATAGGATAGCATAGGGATGTAACCACGAAATCAAGAACAATTCTTCCTCACCAGTAGTTACATGCGTTTCACTTGCCTGTCGACTTTTATGGAAATGAGCCCTCAAAAACCATATATCAACCAACAGAGATGGCACAATAGATGCTTATATCGAATATGTGTGTTTTTGTTTACCCCCGATTCCCCAAAATTAACCATAATCGCCAGGTTTGTTAAAACTGGATATAAGTGCGGGTTCCAGGGGGATCATCGGGTTGATTATCTGTAGTTGGATGAATTGTAATTCATGTTGCTTAAAAGGCCAGGAGTATTGAGCCTTAAGAAGACTCTTGGGTTTAGGAATTTGATATCCGGGCTTCTAGCGCGACAAGAAAATGACTGGTTGGTGGTTTCAAACATTTTTTATTTTCCATTATATATATATATATGAGATAGTCCTTCCCATTGACTAACATTTTTCAAGATGCTTAAAACCACCAACCAGAAAGATTTCTTGACCATTCACAGACAACAAAAACATGGTTTCAATGATTCCTGAGATTCCATTTCCAAATATTCCAGTGCATCTTCCAGCAATTTAGGGTTGTTTCTACCTGGAAAAAGTCTTAACTGTGTGGAGTAAGGCATATCATGGCATGTCAATCTTCAATAAAAAAAATCAACAATTTGCCAAGTTGAGCACCCCAACATAGCGGTTGCCAGGCATTCCCTTAGACTTTAAGCATCAGCTGGGAAGCGGGGGTCCTTCCTGCCCAGGGAGCTGACGACCGAGCTGGCCTGGAGCTTAGCCCCATGAGGCCTTCTCGGCCCCCCAGTGATTCAAATCGGAGTGGTTTTGTTGAGAAAATCTTAAACGAAAAACCCTCGATTGTCCCATTTTTTAATGGGGTTTTCCGAAGTGAATGTTCCCTTAAACCAGCCCATGTTTTGTGATCTTTGGGAAAAATAGACACATGAAAGCCATAGTCAGTATCATGTTTTATTCCCCATAAACATCCATAAAGCCAAATTCATGAAAGCCATGGGTCAAGCATATGCACATTGGCATGCCTTGTCATGAAGGTGGGTTTGAATGTAAGGATCCTGGCTGTTGAGGTTGGGAGACAAGCTTGCGTGGGCCTTTGTTGTCTTTGTGCATCCTCACGCCTACACCAACAGAGGCACCAACCGAACAGTCAATGGAGGCAGCGGGGCGCCTCTTGATGAGGCTGGCGCGGCTGAGGCGGAGGGTGAGATGCCGAGGCCAACGAGGGCACCGGAGCTGGTGACGCCAACTGAGTTGACGGAACCTTCTCCGGCTGTTTCTCGGGTGAGGGCGAAGGCGTCGGAACCTTCTTTGACGACCCCGTATGGTGCTCCGGCTGTTCTGCAGCCTCCGCACGGTGTTCCGAAACCACCGCCAGCTGTCCACCCATTTCCTCCGGAACCACCTGTGGTGTTTGCTAAGGCTAAAGTGTGTCGAGGGATGATCAATAGGCCACCAAGCCCTCGACGTCCTCTCACACCATGGGGTCTCACATTGTATTGCAAAGTTTGCTAAGTTGGTCCAAATACCCTCTGGTAATCTGTCAAAATAGCTTTTGAAGATGGCCATTTATAGTTGAATTTCCCATTAAAAATTGTTATTTTCCATAGTTATGTAAACGTTTACCAGAGGGTAACTCCAATAAGTTGGGTTTATAGTAGATATATCGAACTGCTTAATGGGGGTTATAAACCAACAAACATCACTGGGGGGCACCACCTTGTATCAAATATCCCACACACATATCCCACAAGGTGCCTCATAGTTACTACCTCATAGTATAGCTAGAGGTTTTGGTGTATCTATACTTCCTGGTGGTTATAACCAACTTTTCTCCAAAAAGATAGCCCATGTTGAATTTGGATAGGAAAAACTTCCCAACCCCATAGGATCCATGTATGGTATATATATGCTAACATTGGGGGTATATTGATGGTACAGGCATCTGACAAAGTCGTACCTGTTTTAGGAAAAAAACATTGTGCCTTGGGGAAGTGTGTTTCGCAAAAGTCGTGCCTTTAGCAAGAACGCATAGGAACTCTGGAGTTTGGATATGTAACCCGTTTTCTTATGAGATCACGTAGCTGATCACTATTAGCATGCAGAATTCCAGGTTGTGGGTATGTTGATTAGTTATAGGTAAGATGGCGTTGAGCTGGTGATTTGATGATTTTGGATGTTCATCCCAGTTATCCTGTTTTTCCCCGAATGCGTAGCGAAGGGTTCCCGTTTATAGTCTGGGGGTCTGGGGGCTGGACCCTTGTTCGCCTCGAGTGGCTCGTCGCGTCGTCGTCGGGTCGGCGTCGCGTCGTCGTCGGGTCGGCGTCGCGTCGTCGTCGCGTCGTTAATTCCGTGTCTATGGGGGAAGCTGCAAAACCTCTCCTTTTCGAAGGTTTCCAAGCAGGTTGTCATGTCAGTTTGTAGCACAAAGTAGTACTGGGAAGTAAACAATAGTTTGTGCAAGCTTTGTAGTACAAAGTAGTACTGGGAAGTGCTTTGTGCAAGCTTTGTAGTACAAAGTAGTACTGGGAAGTGCTTTGTGCAAGCTTTGTAGTACAAAGTAGTACTGGGAAGTCCTTTGTGCAAGCTTTGTAGTACAAAGTAGTACTGGGAAGTCCTTTGTGCAAGCTTTGTAGTACAAAGTAGTACTGGGAAGTCCTTTGTGCAAGCTTTGTAGTACAAAGTAGTACTGGAATGTGCTTTGTGCAAGCTTTGTAGTACAAAGTAGTGCTGGGAAGTACTTTGTGCAAGCTTTGTAGTACAAAGTAGTGCTGGGAAGTGCTTTGTGCAAGCTTTGTAGTACAAAGTAGTACTGGGAAGTCCTTTGTGCAAGCTTTGTAGTACAAAGTAGTACTGGGAAGTAGTTTGTGCAAACTTTGTAGTAAAAAGTAGTGTTGGGAAGTGCTTTGTGCAAGCCTTGTAGTACAAAGTAGTACTGGGAAGTGCTTTGTGCAAGCTTTGGAGTACAAAGTACTACTGGGAATGTGCTTTGTGCAAGTTTTGTAGTACAAAGTAGTACTGGGAAGTACTTTGTGCAAGCTTTGTAGTACAAAGTAGTACTGGAACGTGCTTTGTGCAAGCTTTGTAGTACAAAGTAGTGCTGGGAAGTAGTTCGTGCAAGCTTTGTAGTACAAAGTAGTACTGGGAAGTGCTTTGTGCAAGCTTTGTAGTACAAAGTAGTACTGGGAAGGACTTTTTGCAAGCTTTGTAGTACAAAGTAGTGCTGCGAAGTAGTTTTTGCAAGCTTTGTAGTACAAAGTAGTACTGTGAAGTAGTTTGTGCAAGCTTTGTAGTACAAAGTAGTACTGGGAAGTCCTTTGTGCAAGCTTTGTAGTACAAAGTAGTACTGGAACGTGCTTTGTGCAAGCTTTGTAGTACAAAGTAGTGCTGGGAACTGGTTGGTGCAAACTTTGTAGTACAAAGTAGTACTGGGAAGTGCTTTGTTCAAGCTTTGGAGTACAAAGTAGTACTGGGAATTGCTTTGTGCAAGCTTTGTAGTACAAAGTAGTACTGGGAAGTGCTTTGTGCAAGCTTTGGTTTTTTGGGTTTAAGGAGTTTAGGAGGAGATGAGAAACGGGGCCGTGGAATTGTTTTTTGAGGATGAGGGTTAAGTGTTTATTTAATGTTAATGTGTGAGTTGTTTTTTAATTACCCGTGTGAAAGGAATTTTTTTGGAATTCGTCATAAGGATTTAGGCCACCGATAAAAAATTAAATGTTGGGTGATGGAGAATGTAGTTACATTTTTTGTATTTTTGGGTTTTGGGTATGAGTTTTTATAATATTATTTGTTATTTTTCACTTTTTGGGATGGGGGCATTTTTGTCTTTGTTGGGACCTGATTCCTTTCCCCGTTAGTACTGGAACGTGCTTTGTGCAAGCTTTGTAGTACAAAGTAGTGCTGGGAAGTAGTTCGTGCAAGCTTTGTAGTACAAAGTAGTACTGGGAAGTGCTTTGTGCAAGCTTTGTAGTACAAAGTAGTACTTGGAAGGACTTTTTGCAAGCTTTGTAGTACAAAGTAGTACTGGGAAGTCCTTTGTGCAAGCTTTGTAGTACAAAGTAGTACTGGAATGTGCTTTGTGCAAGCTTTGTAGTACAAAGTAGTACTGTGAAGTAGTTTGTGCAAGCTTTGTAGTACAAAGTAGTACTGGAATGTGCTTTGTGCAAGCTTTGTAGTACAAAGTAGTGCTGTGAAGTAGTTTGTGCAAGCTTTGTCGTACAAAGTAGTACTGGGAAGTCCTTTGTGCAAGCTTTGTAGTACAAAGTAGTACTGGGAAGTCCTTTGTGCAAGCTTTGTAGTACAAAGTAGTACTGGGAAGTGCTTTGTGCAAGCTTTGTAGTACAAAGTAGTGCTGGGAAGTAGTTTGTGCAAGCTTTGTAGTACAAAGTAGTACTGGGAAGGACTTTGTGCAAGCTTTGTAGTACAAAGTAGTACTGGGAAGTCCTTTGTGCAAGCTTTGTAGTACAAAGTAGTACTGGGATCGACTTTGTGCAAGCTTTGTAGTAAAAAGTAGTGCCGGGAAGTACTTTGTGCAAGCTTTGTAGTAAAAAGTAGTACTGGGAAGTGCTTTTTGCAAGCTTTGTAGTACAAACTAGTGCTGGAACGTGCTTTGTGCAAGCTTTGTAGTACAAAGTAGTGCTGTGAAGTAGCTTGTGCAAACTTTGTAGTACAAAGTAGTACTGGGAAATGCTTTGTGCAAGCTTTGTAGTACAAAGTAGTACTGGGAAGTGCTTTGTGCAAGCTTTGTAGTACAAAGTAGTACTGGGAAGTAGTTTGTGCAAGCTTTGTAGTACAAAGTAGTACTGGGAAGTGACCCAGAGAATAGAAAAATAATGATGCAGAATCCCAGCGTTGACATGCAGGTTGCACACGAGAATTACATTATAAGAGAGTAGAAAACCAATATTTTCATCAATCGCGTTCCATTGTGTTTCATTGGTTTTTCATGTCTAAAATGCATGGTTACACTTTTATTGAGGACAGCGTTCCATGCAGAAAAACATTTAGGCATGACTTAGGCATGACTTCTTGGATACAGCGTTTACAATGGTAAATGCCATTCAAAAACATGCTAGGCATGACTTAGGCGTGACATTGTCGTTTCCCTATAAATGTCACCATAAATAGCATACATGGAACCTATGGGAACGGATGATTAATGGAGAACACGTGGATACAGGTAACAATGATTCCTACGTGTCTCCACTTATCATCCAATCACTGGATTGCTTTAAGGGACAATTTACAGGAAACCTCAATCTGGCTGGTGGTTTCAAACATGTTTTTCCATAATATATGGGATTATCTTAAATGGCTTATAATGGATTATAATCCCACTAACTATAGCTGGTTGGTGGTTTCAAACATTTGTTATTTTCCATAATATATGGGATAATCCTATTCATTGACTTTCATATTTTTCAAGACGGTCAAAACCACCAACCAGGGAAACCCCTATATTTCATGGGTAAAACTCCCATGGTTTCCGGTGTAGATTTTCCCACCAATTCCGTGACCCCAAACGGGATCCCCCATCTCCTAACCGAGGCGGGTGCCCAACGGATTTCCCACCTCTACAACGATCACCAGCGGAGGCCTGTGAATGGACGGGATTTCTACGGCGGTTGAACGGGGACATGATGGGGAGTAAACCATCAACCTGGTTGGTGGTCTGGAACATGAATTTTATTTTTCCGTTCAGTTGGGAATGTCATCATCCCAACTGACGAACTCATATTTTTGCGAGGGATTGAAACCACCAACCAGTCAAATATCTAGGTCAATCTTGGATGGGAATATATGGGAATATATCTGGGTAAACTGCAACGACCTCACTGCGACCTCACTATAATCATAATTAGTAAGGGGAATCATCCCAAAATGGACTTAATTGAGGTTAGTGAAATATTATATTTTCCCAGATATATGGGAATATATGGGAATATAGTGATACAATTACATAAGTAAATATATATATATACATATAATCAACGGGGATTTAGTGAGAATATAATCCTGGGTCAGTCAACTGGATGGGTAGAAACCAATCTTCTGTCAGATAAGAATGGTATATATATATATCAATGGGATATATAGTGGGATATAATTGGTTTAAAAACAATTTTGAATGGGATATATAATGGCGTATATTCTAGGTCAATCTTGGATGGGTAGAAACTAATCCTGTAGTCTTTTGGTATGGGATTTTCTACGTTCACCAGCTAAGTGTTTTTTCTGCAAAGTATCTAAGATTGGCCATCAAAAATAATGTGGATGTATGGTCGATAAAAATCGGACATCGAAGGGTTGACGGTGTTTCACACAATTTCATTGTTTTGGGGGATAGGCAACTAAAATTTTGGAAACATATTGAATATATTATTGGTATATAGTGGGAACATCAACCACATAATATGGTAATCACATACCAAGTGCTGCCCCAAATCCTTAGCGAAGTTGGTAAACATAGATAGATTGCTACATCACTTTTTTCCATTATGCCGACCTGAGATCTCTCTCGTGTGGTCACGCATCTAAATTCGATGCTTCACCATTGAAAGTCAGGAAGGAATGACTTTCGATAGATGATTTGTGACGCACCTTAGATCAACTAAGGGTTTATGGTGATTGTAACCATTGTGAAGTGGGCAACTTACCACAACTTACCACTAGGGGCACCACCGAACGCAGGGATTCCGGGTCGACCAACTGGATGAGTAGTGGATAATCTGATCAGATAAAGAAAGGTATAACCAATGAAATATGGAGGTACAAGGAGTTAAACATCAAGTATAAGAGTAAACGTAAACCAACTGTACCTTGCTGGTAGGTTGATTGAATATTTTACCCACAAACATGTAGGTTTAATCATAAAAATGTTTGTGGTTTCACGAGTACTTGCCTCAAATAGTTGACGAAACGGATTGGTGAAGCAAAGTTTAATACACCATCGTTCTGGCTATAAATGGGCTAACATGGGCCTTCCTGCTAAAACTTTTTTTAAAGGGTATCTAAGACTGGCCATGAGTGTATCAATATATCCATTCTTGGAAGTGGTTCTCAATTGCTTCTCAGGTATTGCTGTGACCTGAGCTGACTTCAAGATATCCTTTCTTGGAAGTGGTACTCTTCACTCTCAACTATTTCTATGATCCCACCTGACTTTAAGATGACTTCTCTTATATATACAGGAATCAATATGGATCCACAAAGTATCACAAGATCTTTCTCAGAGACAGACCGGCAACTGGCCTGGGATCTACTAGACCTCCACGGTGGACAGATCCGTGAGACCCATATGGAAACACAGTGCTGATGTCAGAGAGATGTCTCTCGGTGAACCTTGGTTTGGTATCGTTTCGTACTTCTGTACCTAAAAACCTGGAATGATTGACCTAACCAGATAAACATCCCATGTTTTTTTTGGGTTGCGTTGTATCAAAGATTGGCAATGTAACAGATGGGAAGTCACCAACGGAATCAGCGGAACCAACGGAACCCGACAAGGTGGTGGTCCGACAAGGCTAAGCGACAGTTGGGCTTGGAAGGTCGACTAGATTTGACTAGGATATAATTATGGTAGATATATCTATAGTTAAGAAGATTTACAATCCATCTTATAACTGGTGGGCACCAATTGGTATGTTTATCAACCGTGAATCCACACTATTGCTGCGTAAAACCTCATTTGGCTTCTAAAACACAATTGAAACAAAACAGCATGCAGTTTTTTGTGGTTGAATCAACCCTTCCCCAATCGGCTTAACCAAATATTTACCAATTGTTCGTGCGTAAATGACAACTAATGATGGCTAAATCACCAGTATTCGTGGTTGACGCCCCTGAAAAACAACTGAAACCTGAATTTGATGAGAAGTCAAACAATTTCAATTCTAAATTGTGATGGTGCATTTCCCAAAAGTCAAATCTTTATCGGGGCTTAGGCATAGTCACCTCGTCATGGGTCATCCATCGGCAAGCAGCAGTGCGGCAGGTTGGCTTCCAAAAGTGCATTGAGTAAACAGATCCTCGGTCAACAAGTGTGTCAAATATGGGATCAATGGTGGTTTAATCATGGTGATTTAATGGGAATAGTGGGAATGTACCCACTGATATCCTCTGATCATTTCACGTTGGACAGTTGGCCTTATACGGAGTTCGACCAGCGCTTTGCCTGCATCCATTGTTGAATCTGCGCTCCGACCGTCATCTTCATCCGTTGTCGCAACCTCGTCTTTGAGTTTTTGGGGAATCGGTCCTTTTAATGTCGTTTCTGGTTTTGCGACGTGGTTACCATCATTTAGACTGGCACTGTCCATCATTACTTCAAGGGTGGAGCACATGTAAGTATTCAGTATACAGTAAATAGTGTATATAAACACTTTGTTTTAGACTGATATTAATATAGGTAATCAAATACACATAGTACATATTACATACTGTAATACAAAAGTGCATGACATACATACATCATGGCAAACATACATACCTACCCACCTACATACATACATACATACAGACATACATACATTCACGACCTTGGCGCGGCCTAGGACACAGCGTTCTTGACCAACAGACCGGGTGTCCCGATTGATGCGGGCTGTGTTCTTTGTCAGGCAACTTCGAAGAGACTGTGTCCTAACATCGGCTTTGTGGACTACTGTGCGGCAATCAAGAACGATGCTAAGTTCAAGGAGGAGGCTGCCAAAGCAAGACTTGCTTTGAAATGGCAGGCATCCAAAGACAAGGAGGAAGGCAAGGTGCTCCCGACCTTTGTCCCAACTTTTGATGTCTCAGAGATTTCTGACCATGGACATCAGATCTATTCAAAGGCAACGCGCTCCTCAGTGAGGCCGACTTGATCAAGAAATGCGGTGGCAAAAATGGCAAGGACATGGGCCTCACGATGAAAAATAAAACCACCAGGATGGTGCTTGAATGTAATGTTCCTTGTCGATTTGACATTTGTCGTGTACCCGCATTTCGGGAAAAACGTTTTCTAGACATGAGTGCTCATTGACATGTTCATTTACAGCTGTGGTAGCTACAACATATTAAAACATTACTTACTTAGAAAATAATGCTTTAGAAGTAAAATTTGCTTCATTTAGCTTGTGTTTGCACTGGTGAACTTGTTTTTTGTCATGCCTGGCTCATTCATGTGACCTTCGAGCAAATCCAATCACGTGTCTACATGTCGCCCTTGCCTTCTCAGAGTAGTTGCATCGATTCATCTAATTACAGTAGATGCTGGCCTGCAGCTAGGCTGTTGTTGGGCTGATGCTGTGCTGCTGCTAAATGGCTGCGGGATATCACCACGGGCAGCGTGCAAACTGCTGCTGAGCTGCTGCCAGACTGCTTCTAGACTCCTGCTAGAGACTTGCTGCCGGGCTGGTGGTAAACTGATGCTAAAGCTGAGGGGTTTCCAAAGCTATTTTCTGGCCTCGTTTTGGCCGTGTTTTTGGCCTTCGTTTGGAACCCGGTGCAGAAATACATACATGAATTTGTTACCATAACATAGATTTGTTACCAAAACATACCAAAACATACATGAATTTATGCGCTCACATTGTGTTTTGAACCAAAAGATGACATCTCTTAGATGTACTTGTTAGACTTGAATCATTAGAATAGGATGCATTTTGCAACAAAAAAATACTTTACCCAAACATACATGAATGATGCGTTTAAATGGTGTTTTGATAGTGAAACATGTCATTTTGCTCATAATTTTCCATAGTTTGAAACCATTGGGGTGACTTGCGTTCTCATGGTGATTTGCACATTTGGGATGATAGTTTTTTTGTGCTTTTTCATTTTCGTGCTGCGTTTACAATGGGCGAAAAAGTTGGGGTGAATTTTCTTAGCAGTTGGGGGGCGTAGTTCCATGCGGGAATGACCAGTTGACTGCAACGTTGGGGGACCTTCGCCGGCATTGAGTACCTTAGAATGACCCCAAGAGGAGAAAAAGAGGGGTGTTGAGGCAAGGACAGATTTTCTGTGACCCAACATAAGCAGGCATTCTGTGAACATATTTTTGCAACCTGCTAGTGGCAGACCGGATTGCCTCCGTTTTCTGTCCATTCCTGAAATTCTCATTTTGCAGTCCACTGTCATGCCTTGCTGGCTGCCATCAGACCACAGAAATGCCATCAAGCTGCTTGGAAACAGCATCGCTGTCCCTCATGCCATTCTTGCCATCACTAATGCCTTGGGTTTCCGGATCGGACAACATCAAAGATCTTCATCAAATTTCCAGCAAGTTTTTACGTGGCATCATGGAGGCACTTTCTTCGTGCTCTTTCGAAACTGAGTGTCAAGACCTCCATTTGCTGATTGTAAAGACCAGTTGGGTCCAGCATGCCTCCACAGACTCAAACCGATCAATGCCAGTACATTAGGTGAATCTTGGAGAAACAAATCCTTTAGTCTTTTGGCCTGGGATTATCTACGTTCACCAGCGAAGAATGTGTCGTTTTTTGAAGGGTATCTAAGACTGGCAATGTACACCCGAATTAATGAAGTAAAAACCCCACATCCCAGATTCCTGATGTCTGGTGAACCGCCTCTCCGGCCAAAAAACTTGACGAAGTGGGGATCTACAGATCTACACATCTATGTCAACTGCGGTTGATAAGCAGGGATTTATTGATGAACATTGGGTTTTAACAGGATTTAAAGTTAATTTTATTAGGAACAAAAAAACACCAAAGATTGGGTCTTGATGGTACTAGAACTACAGTTCATGGGGATCATTACTGGCTGGTGGTTTGGAACGTGTTTTTTTCCATTCAGTTGGGAATGTCAGCATCCCAACTTTTCCGAACTCCATCATTTTTCAGAGGGGTAGGTCGACCACCAACCAGCGGTTCATGGGGATCATTAGTTGGTAAACGAACTTGGGGCCTTGGGCACCACCAAGCTCATTGGATGTAGATTTTCGATGGGAAATCCCAAAAGACATATTTCCAAGCGACTGGATGGGTAGAAACTTATCCAGTTTTTGTTGCCATGGAACATACCCCCTGGTAAACGTTTACATAACTATGGGAAATCAACATGCTATGAATGGGTAAATCAGCTATTTCTATGGCAATTTTCAATGCTATGTTTGTTTACCAGAGGGTAACCATAGCAACAGTTTTTTTGATTACCCAAGATTGACCATGATAAATAGTTGGTGAACATGATATCCCCTGGATTTTTTTTTTAAGAACCAGCCAGAATCGCCTGTTTGGATGGTTTTCCATCCACTACCTCTGAGGAACGAAGAGCAGGAACAGAAGACTTTGGCCGAGTTTTTCCCTCAGAACCAGCCAGTTTAATAGATGTTTTTTTAAGTAAACCATCAGGAAATATCCTTACAATGTGGTGCCCCCAAGATAGCTAAGTTGGTGCAAATAACTCTAATAATTAGGACTTATGGTAAATAGATTGAACTAGTTAATGGGATTATAAACCAACAAACACCACTGGGGCGGCACCACCTGCAGTATAAATCAATCAACTCTTGTGTTTTCACCTCGATGAGTACTGATTCTCCTTCGTGAAAGTTCCATTAAGAGCAAGTCCGCAAGTCTCCCCACTTATGACCCATGAAAACCCCTTTTCTGATATGCTATAATCATGTACAATGTGCGTAAAGCAATAATAAACCATCCCCCCAAAAAAAAAAATACTTGGTATAAATAAACCATTCCCAGTCATGGGTGGTTTATGGCATTGTTTGACTCACATAAACTCAACGGTAATTTCAGGATCCTAAAATGGAGGTACTGTGCCATATAAGGCCATATTTTGTCGGGATATTCTCTTACATAGGCCTTATATAGGCCTTATACATTTATGTATATATATATATATATGTGTGTATATATATATATGGTAGGTACCTCCAATTTAGGTTCCTGAAATGACCATGATAAACTGGTCAAAAGGCTTTGAAGGTCAAGTCATCCGGTCCCAGGCGTTCGGTCCACAAGAACGTCAAGCCGTCAGATGTTCGGGCGCCTTTTTGAACCAACTGGAGGTTTTCTTGTCTGGTTGGTGGTTTGGAAAACTTATATTTTTCCATGCAGTTGGGAAGAATAATCCCATTTGACTATTTTTTTTTTAGATGGGTTGAAACCACCAACCAGATGCTGTTTTTTTCGCAACCTGGAGCGTTAAGCTGCTAAGCCCAATAAAAGGGGGGTGGTTCCTGAAATAGGGATACCCCCAAATCATCCAAGTCATGGATGACCACTGTAGTATTGAAACCTATGGTTTTGGGCATTCCCCATTTTTGAAAATGTCCAAATGGGGGGTTTAATACGGAGTAATGCCAACCCATGAATAAGCCCCGGCTGTTCACTTGGGGACCATTTAAGGATGATCAGTTGATCAGTATTTGGGGATGCACCCCCCGGAGTAGAAACCGTGCTTTATGAATCCGGAGTTCACAGTATTCATGGTTTTTGGACCAACCAAAGGTTTACCCATGGGACTATGGGACATTAATCTAAGAAAACAACTTACTGGTGCGTTTTACGTAGGGTTGCTGGATGGGTTGGGAATGGGGTTGCTGGGATGATAAAAATGATAGTTCGCCAGTGGATCATTCCCGAAAATTCCCTGCGTAAAACGCACCAGCAAGACAATAATGTTAAGTAAACATGAGAGTTCAATGGTTTAATGGTGTTTGATTTACCACAAAGAACTGGGTAAACCAACTGGTGATTGGTACTTTGATACTGAGTATTGAGTTTGCATTTTGACGGGCCATGAATATATAATATACTTACGTAGTATTAAAGATTTCCCAACAATAAATCATGTGTATATGTTTGAATTTTGTTCAATATGTTATCTATCTTTCACAAATGTATACCTTAATATGTAAGCATTGATATATCATTTTGGAGCTAACATCTCTGTGCATGCTATAATAGCTGCACTTTCGAGCCGAGCTGCCTCGTCTCCCATTTGTGGTTGCTGCGTTTTTTGGGTCCGGAGGTGAACATGGAAACCGCAGGAACTAACCACACCAAAGCTATATATCCCCCCTAAAATGCTGCCTTGCCGTTGTTCATTTGCGGTTTCTTTTCACATGTCTGAGATGCAGCAAGGAGATGGTTCAATTGGAGTATGACATTCAAAGGTGATGATGTGATGGGATTATAACGATACTCTACCACTATTCATCAAATAAATCCCATTCAATGGTTATTCAACGGAGATACAAGTTAATGGGATTATATTGATTATACAGGCGGCTCTAACAGTTTGAAATCAACCAGTTTTCGAAGTTTTCGATGGATTGACTTGAAGAAAAAATGGTTCCATCCCCTCAGTTTGTTTTGGAACATCGGGATGTTTCATCCCCGCTGTGGTACATCGGCAGGGATTGCAACCTGTTGTGCTTCCTTATCCAGCATCATTTCCAGAGATGATGAGTGGTTTGATTGAAGTCCCTTTTGCCACTTGCGAAGGTAAAATCTCAGTCAAATGGTATCAAATTGCCGAGTTTTGTACAATAGCATTTTGAATGTACTATTCTATTTGTTTGGAATTGGATATACATGGATATACATATATACGTTTATAAGTGGTGATTTTCAATATTCACTGTGACTGTTTTGCCGTTCTGGTGATTTATCCATATTGACCCGTATCTTTCCTATGGGCTTAAACCACCAATCACGAGCCAAATCTTGTTGGTAACAATCGTAGTGCAGGAAGAATCATGCATTTGTGTTAGAAAATATGATTTCCTGGGAAATTCGCACGCATATAGTTGGTGTACATAGCTCCATGGTTCTTAGCTTTGAATTCCTGGCTTATTTTTTTTCATTTGAAACTCACAAGTGTATGATCTTGGTGGCTTTTGTCCAAGCCGGCGGTATCCCAAAGTCCCAATCTTTGAGAAAATGAATGAATGAAGGGAAAACGAAGAAAGTAATTATCAACTTCGAAAATGAAGGAAAACCAAAGGAAAATTGGAAATAAAGGAAAAACCAATGGGAAAAAACAACAACAATGGAAAATGAAGGAAAACGAGGAAAATGAAGGAAAACGAAAAGGAAATAAAGGAAAACTAATGGAAAATGAATTAAACGCGAGAAAATTACAAAAAAAGGATAGGAAAAGAAGGAAAACGAAAGGGAAATAAAGAAAAACAAAGGGAAAATGAAGGAAAACAAAAGAAAATGAAGGAAAACCAATAACATGTTTTTACGGCAAAAAAACAATCAAGAACCAAACAAAAACCTAAGAAAAATCATCGCCCTTTGATTTATCCCAGGGATCTGGTCATGGTTTCCCACATGATGTGAATGAATGGATTACTCATTGAACTACCAACTATTAAACATGATGAAAACACATTCAATGAATGTTTTTGTTTGGTTTACCACATTATGCAAGTATCATTCCCAAATTGGAACCACTAGTATTAATAATTCACCCATCGTAGCCGTTGATCATATTATTCAGTCAGATTAAGCCAACAAGAAATAGCCACTGGATATACTGGTATACTGTATGTATACTATGGTTTGCCCACCAACTGCAATATAGATTAGCTGGTTGGTGGTTTGGAACATGAGTTTTATTTTCCCATATATTGGGAATTTCATTATCCCAATCTGACAAACTCATATTTTTCAGAGGGGTAGGTCAACCACCAACCAGCAATGGTAGTTCACCAAGTATTGCTTACAGTAATACATTACCAATTTAGTAGGTCAACCACCAACCAGTTAACCATTCATTAAGCATCCCATCTGGTCAATGGGAATTTCAGGATCCTAAAATGGAGGTACTGTACCATATAAGGCCATAGTTTCTGGGGATATTCCCTGAAACTAATGCCTAAAAAATAGGCCTTATATATGGTAGGTACCTCCAATCAATCGGATCCTGGAATGGCCATTGATCTGGTCCAATATCCCATTCAGATCCAGATCAGGTCAGTGAATCCATCCATAAGCTCTTCGAAGATGCCAAGCAACGACATCAACGTCTCAGCGAGAGACGTGCCTGGACCGATTCGATTCGTGGACGTGTTCTATGGATGGCCGGCCCAAAAGAAGACTTACCCTCTGGTTATTTAACATAGCCATGGAAAATGGCATAAAATAGCCCATTTATAGATGGTTTACCTATTAAAAACGGTGATTTTCCATGGCTATGTTAGTCAAAACCAGATGGTATATGGAAAGCCCACCCCACATTCAAAACACGCCTCGAATTTGACCCTACCCTGTTCTGCGGTAGGGTTAGGTTATAGCAATGTTCAATTCATCATGAACTCAATAGCCATATCAAATCCACCATAATTTTATTATTATATCATTAGTTCAGGCTCACATTGGTGTCATATTTAATGGTCATACACAGCCTCCGGTGATCATAAGCCATGAGCGGAATAGCCATGAAACATGGGCATGGTCCCCCAGCCCACAGCCCAACGATTTTTAAAGAAATATCTCCATTTCCGCTTGATCGCTTCGTTATACCATGTTAGACCCATACTATCCCCTCCGTTGTTGGTGAGTCTCAAACGAATATATATTGGTTTCAGTTTCAGCCATTAAACATGGGGGTCTTCCAAGATTACAAACCAATTGCTGGTTAAACTTGATTAAACCCCCAATTTCCTCATTGCTCAAAGAAAACACGTATGGATGCAGGATACAGTTCCACTAGTGCTGACTTTCTCCATAGTTGTAGGGTTTTATTTTCCCAACTTCCGACGGGTACTACAAGTATCGTGGTTCTTCCATGTTCTTCCCACTAACTTTAACTGCACCCGCAAGTAACGCTTTGTGTTTCACGAAAATCGCACATGGATTCGACATAGATCTCCAGCAAGCGCCATTTTCGTTTTGCCATCTACAGTTGATGTGAAATCCCATGGCTTAAAGCCATGGCTGATGGGCCCAAATTCCCAAGGAGGATCACCTCCGATCCACCGGCTCCAAGGTGAACAGATGCTGCAATTGGAGCTGCAGGTCAGAGTCGCGACCAGCGGTTGTTCACGGTGGTCTACGTACGACGTCGGTTGGTTTCACTGTAGGGTTTTTTTTGCTCCTCTGACCCGTTTGAACTGTTTAGAATTCTCTGGGTTTTAAGATATTAACTTTTGGATAGATATGGTAATTATTAAGATATATCTATCTGTTTTTGATATTATTAAGATATGTTTTTTCAACATGGCGATGGATATGGATAGATTTTATGGTTAGACAAAGGTTGATGTTTTTTGGGATTTCTGGTGGATATTCCTGCTTGTTTTGTTGTGGTCAAAATTAAGCACCCCTCGACTGTGCAAAGATACACAAGGAAAGTCCTACTAAGATCAGTAGTGGTAAATTTAAGCCTCTCGATTTTTTTGGTGGTTAGTATATCTGATTGGTGGTTTGGAACATTTTTCCATATATTGGGAATAATGATCCCAACTGACTTTCATATTTTTCAGAGGGGTAGGTCAACCACCAACCAGATATAGTTTACTCTAAAGTCTTGTATTCGCATAAACAGCATGAGTTCGCCATACTTCAGACCTTGGTTCTTCTGATCGAACCCTTTGCCATGGAGGTACTGAATGGAGAGTCGCTGGTATTGATACTCTGCAACCACTGTGAGCCATACATTCTGGTAAACGTTAACAAAAAACTATGGAAAATCACCATTTTGTAGCTGGGAAAACTCACTATTTCTATTGCCATTTTCAATAGCAAACTGTCACAAATTACCAGAGGGTAACAACTATGCAAGAGTGATTGGCAGCAATCCACACCCGCAGTACTAAGCTACACCTGTCATCCAGGACTCATAATGAGGATCAGATTGATTTGGCGGAATTTGATCACAACCTCATGTCAATGGCCATTTCAGGATCCTAAATTGGAGGTACCTAGCATATGTAAGGGGATATCCCCACAAAATATGGCCAGAAATATGGTACAGTACCTCCGTTTTAGTATCCTGGAGATCTCCCATTGATCATGGAAAAACCACGACACCGTAGAATGATGGTGACCTGGTGGATGGATTGGGGGGAACATTTTGGGAAACTGTCCCAAAATTGCCGGACTGTTCAGGTTAGTTGATTAGTTTAAATCAGCCAGATTGATGCTGATGATGATGATGATGACTGGTTGGTGGTTTGGAATATGAATTTTATTTTTCCATTTCAAATATGGGATGTCATCCTTCCCAAATTGACGAACTCATATTTTTCAGAGGGGTAGGTCAACCACCAACCAGGTATGTATATATATATAATATGTTATAATCCCATCATATAACCATATATTATAATCACTATTATTGTTTTTTTAACCGCTATTTTTATTGAAACCAACCAGTTGACGATGAGGGGAATTTTTACTTCACCCATGGCAGCTGGATTCCATTAGTTCACTCCGGGTCGCCAGATTTTGATATTCAACCCTGTGTTTTTTGTTTTGATCGACAACATTGGAGATTCCGCATGTGTGTATATGTATAATATATATATATATGATACAATATATCTAATATAAGATATATATACCATATATTTTCATTTACATATAATTATACATATATATATATATGTATAATATAATATATATAATATACATATAAGCGTGTACGATATATTTTGTTTTCTATATATGTGCACAGTGTTATAATTATTGTGTGTAACTCCTCTACTGTGTATAGACAAATCAATAAGCAGGCTTCTTTTGAACTGATTAGACAAATAGATAAATCATGATAACTAGATTTGCATACAGATGAATGGATTTAGATATGTGTATAGAATTGGGTTGATAAATATATAGATAGACTTGAGAAGATAAGATTACAGGACAAGTTCAGCATATAGATGTGCGACTCCTCTTTCATCCGTGGGGATTACATTTCCAAAAATGGAGGTATTGGACCATACAAGGGGATGTTTTGTGGTGATATTCCCTTACATAGGCCTTATATAGGCCTTATATATGGTAGGTACCTCCAGTTTAGGTACCTGAAATGGCCCTTTTTGTGGTGGTATTCCCTGAAATTTCCCGAACATATAATTTTATATATGGTAGGTACCTCCAAGAATTAGTACCTTATGGTACAGGATGGCGCCCCCCAGCGACATTAACTTTGTTGATTTATGGTCCCCTTTAACTAGTTTGTGAACTATCCCCCTAATCAACCCAAACGTGCAAGGTGGTGCCCCACCAGTTATAAATGGCTTATAATCCCACTAACTATAGCTGGTTGGTGGTTTGGAACATGAATTTTATGATTTTCCATTCAGTTGGGAATTTCATCATCCCAACTGACTCATATTTTTCAGGGTAGGTCAACCACCAACCAGATATGTATATGTTATAATCCCATCATATAACCATATATAATCACTATTATTGTTATTCTAACCACTATTATTATTGAAACCACCAACCAGATATATCACCCATAAACCAACGTGAACTTGGACTTCTTTGCTTCATCCCCTGGGCCACCGTGTGCAGGAGCTGCAGGCCATGTCCATCCACTCCATGCCGAGCTCCGTTCGGGGAGATTTCGGAGATCGACTGCATCAGGAGGGGCGGAAGCCCGGAACCGGAGTCGGTACCGGAACCGAGATCCGGTAAAACCAAGGGTGTGCTATTGAAAATGGCCCATGTTCTGTTGATTTACCTATTGAAAATGGATGAACATGGTGATGTTCCTTGATTTGTGTTACTAGAGGGTATATCCCCAAAATCCTTCACTTTTTGGGAAGGGATTCATGTCAAGAAGAAGAGTTATTCATGGAATGGTGGTTTGAGAGGGTATGATATAGACATGGTTTCGAAACTGCTGGAAAATGATGCTTTAATATGGTTTAATTTAGAAAAAATGAGGATTTAATGAGTATGTTTGCCAAAAAATAATTGGGGACACCTGGGTTTATGAGGGATTTTGCCATGGCACATATACATATATATATATATTTATTTATTTATTTATGTATTTACATATACATATATATATATATTTGATCATGGAAAAGATTTGCCACCGAAATACTGTATGATCAAAGAACATGTTTGTGAACTAGAATCACACTGAAGTGGATCTGACCATGGATGTGGATTTTTACAAACGAACATGGAGAGATTTTGACAGCCAAAGATTGAGTTTTCAGCGAATTTTCTTGGGAAAATGGCGGAATTCCCTCAAGGCAAATGGTGATATTTCCCAGCACCAAAACATTTTTATCAACAGACATGGGGATGTTATGAAATTGATAAAGCAACATGTTGTCATAGGGACTCACTCAAAGTAGTGGACAGTGATTTTAAGCAACAAGACTGGTGGCTTTCACATGATGAATTTCAGCAACCAACTGGGGCAATTGGGATGGTTCCCCCTGAGTAATGCTGGAAAATTAGCTGGAGTCTGAGTCCCTATGAGATTTTTTGCGGTTGCCTCAAACACCGCAATGGTTAAAATCTCTATATGTGGATGTTACCACAGGAAAGTCACAAGTGAAGAACTGTTCACTGCCATGTTTTTTTTGGAGGCTAATGCTATTCAATAGTTTGTTTGTTGCCAATGAACAATGGATATTCCTGGGATATGGGGAAACCTTGGAGGATCACCAAACATCTCGGTGCCGAACTAACCACGAATACTGGATGTAGGTGAAAAATCCCTGGCTCATCCAGTGGGATAAGTAGGGTTAATCCACGAATCCAACTGGGGTGAACTAACCTACTTAGACTTACTAAGTGAGATGAACCACCAAGATGGGGATTGTTTTTTTAGGCAATTTACCAATCTATAAAGGAGCCATGCCGTCTGGTAAACAAACATAGCTATTGAAAATGGCCATTGATAGTGGATTTTCGCATTAAAAATAATGATTTTCCATACTTATGTTAGTTTACCAGAGGGTATATGTTATAGCTATGCTAAATATAACCAGAGAGGTCGCGTCATGGTGCCTTGAGCAGTGGCTTAACCCTGGATATCTCGTTTTTTGATGTTTTTTTGATAATCTGTTTCCATAGTGACCCATGATGATCAGCTGGGCTACCCTCTGGTAAACGTTTACATAGCGAACTGGAAAATCACCATCTTTAATGGGTAAATCAACGATTTCTATGGCCATTTTCAATAGCTATGTAACAGATTACCAGAGGGCACATTACTCCTCCCGCCATACGGAAGGTGAACCCGGGTGACTCTCAGGGCTTCTCCGCTTGGCGAAAGTCCAGGATTAGACGGTGTTCCGAAAAAACAACCGCCATGTACCGAGGTGTTCCCAGCCAACGTTTGATGATCGGGAGGCTCTAGCTAGATGGGCCATGGAGTTAGTTAACCAATTAGTAAATGGATAAACAAATTGGGATATAGAGGGTAACAAATCCCCAGTTACTAACCAGTTAGCTAATCCCATGGCCCATCTAAGTAGCCATCCCCCCATCATTTTGAAGGGCTTTTGTTACCGCAGGGATTCCGATCGTCAAAAAAAAAGCGGCCGCAGGAGGCAAAGAATCGCGACATGCGGATGCTTCAAAAGAAGGAAGAGGCAGAGACCGACTGGATGGATGTTTGAAGAACTCTGAACGTACAGCTCTGATAATGGATGGATCTGTTGAGATACCCTCCGGTAAACAAAAATCCTAAAATCACCGTGCTGTTTGTGGGTAGATCAGCTATTTTCTATGTGCCATGTTCAGTAGCTATGTTAAAATTCCAGAGGGTAGTAATTGTATTTTTTGATGTAAATGGTGATATTTCTCAACTCAGCCAGCTAAAACCAACTATTTGTTGCAGAGTATCAAAAGAAGAAAGAAGCACAAATTCAGCAATCAATGCCCAGTTGACGGTTGGTGCTGAATGGTTCCGTCCAAGTTTCCGGGTGGGGCGCCTCCAAAGAGGAGCGCAGGCTTGCAGTCCGAGAGCAGCAATATCAATGTATATGTATGTTTACTTGTATATTTATTTATATTATTATACTTTGATATTTTATATATATACACGTTTATTTACGTTTTTTTTGATATATATATATATATTAATATATTAATATATGTATATATATATTAATATATGGTACCCTCCAAAGCATGCATGCATACATTTATTTGTATATATATATGCGGAGGTCAAGTTACATGGGTTATTTTCCCTTTCGACAAGGGCAACCTGCTGAAGCCGAGTGCTTGTTGCAAAGCAAGATCGTCAATCGCACTACCCAGGCTGCTGCGCTCCAAGGTATTCTGATGGTTATATCGACGTGGTTGGCGGCTTGTAGTAAAAAGGGCTTGTCTCTACGGTATACCTCTATATAGAAAGCTATTGAATATTGGTTTATCGCCATGTTCCCCAGGTTTTTTTTAAGCCAACATTTCTTGATCTCGGCCGTGCTTTCTTGGCGTCTTGGTGGCTGCGTTTAACTTGCTGGCGCGTTTGGGTTGATCCCAGAGCAAGCAACGCACGGTTAGATACCCAAATACATCCCACTTATACGAGTATATGACCGCTCACTAACCGCTTACAAGTGTTAGTCGCCAATGATTGCAGGTTTGTTCCAAACATCTAGGAGTGACAGCTGCAAACCCAAGAGGGCGCAGACCCTGGTTGCATTCACGCTGGGTTGTGCTTTTCATGATTTCTTCAAGGCTTATATATTTGATGACCGGATATCTCTTGTCCTTTCCAGTTGCATGAAACGCTGCAGACAGCGCACTATCAGGGTTGATGGCGCCCATTTTGCTGTCACCGGTTGTCCGTATTCATGAAAGCTTTTCAGGCACAGCTTTGTTTATGGTTCCCCTTCAATTCTGGTGGGACAGCCAACAAAAGCTGGACCACTTCTTGTTCCAGTGTAAAAGCTCGATGAACCCCTAGAAAAAAAGTCACGCCAAATCCAACCAATGAATGTTCCTTTCCACATTGTGGATTAGATATTGTTTGGGTTCTGACTGCCAGACCCCCATTGGCCAATCCCTTTTTTGGTTTCAAAGAATGCATGGGCAAACCTTCTGCCATGAGCCAACCAAACTCAGGATAAATCCAGGCAACTCCAAGATAAGTGCATGATATAATTGGAATATAATTGCAAGGAGTATCATAATTTCGCGCACATCCAAAAAAACAAGCAAGTCCAAGAAGTCAGAATCGAAGAGATGCCTATGATAATTCCAAGATACTTCCAAGTCGATTCGGGAAAAAATCGAAGAAATTTTCAAGGTTGGGGAAAGTTTGGGTTCATTGAAGTTTGAACTTCTGACACAGACGGATGCATTAGGATTAAGACACCGAACCAAGGTTGTTCCCAGTCAGAAGAAATATCTAGAGTCACGCTGGAATTTTGTTGCTCCTTTTGACTACACCCTAGTCTAAAGAGTGCCTCTATAATGAAAGCAGTACCTAGAGATTAGAGAGCATCAAAAACTTCATGGCGGCTTACTGTTTTGAAGTCGTGTGGGTCGTAATCCTCAAGCTAGATCCAGTCAATGTTTCCGAAGCATTTGGGCCTGATGCTGAGTGAGTCTGAATGAGTGTAATGATTGATAGCCGGGTGTTTGTATTTTTCTGTGGGATGGCATCAGCATTGCTGCTGCTACGGTGCCCTAGTGGGCGGTTTCAAACCATGGGTTTTGCATGTCCACAGCGGGGGTGATGAATCATTATTTCAAATGTGGGGAAGAACTCATGTTACATATTGCTTGTTTTTTATTGGTGTAAAGCAAAGATTGCATTAAATTGAGTTATGTTTTGATACAAGCTTCCTCCGCTACCAGACAGCAGGGCCAAAAACGACCAAATTGTTTCCAAACATGTTTTGTTTGGTTTCAGTTTTCACAAGTTTTCTGATTTCAACAATGATGGTGTCCGAAAAAAATTGCTTATAATTAATCCAAAGTAGTTCTGCAACCAGAGTGAAACGGTACGTACATGTTTCCAGGAAGAGCTAAGATGAACTAAGTGGTCAGTGAGTGACGGGGGTAAACCCGAATACAGCCCACATGTGCGGCTTCTGACCTGCTCACTGCGACCACTGAACTATGTGCTGCAACATCTAAGTAGCCGTAACACATGGTTTCGATTGATGAGATAAACAAGGGCCAACACATGATTGTAAATTGGGTTGGAAACATCAGGGAATTAATTAGAGCTGCAAATTCACCTGATCGCTCTGATCCCCACCTTGAAGTGATGATAAACCATCTTTAGTTTTCATTTCATGTATTTTCCCGAATTTTGTTGGCCACACTCCTCCAAGCCAGCAAAAGTTGGTGTTTCCACAGCATGTGTGCTGGTGGTGTTGACTGAATCGGAGTCAGTGCACTGTAGTGAGTGATAGTACCAAGCAACTTCTTGTGTGGGATGGCGCAAATATTTCTTAGCAGCGCTCTTTAATTTGGATGTGCGTTTGTAGTTCGCAGTTTCAAAAAAAACATCGCTTGGGTGATTAATCATTATTTCAACTGTGAGCCATGTCCCACATCAGAAACCCATGGAAAACCATGGATCCCAAAGTATGACGTTGTTCACTGCCAGAAACCATGGTCAATAACGACCAAAATGCTTCAACATGTGCAGTTCTCTGGCATTTTTTCGCCATGCCAAGTTGGAACCCCTGTGAATGTACTGTGCCGCTCATGTGAATAAATCCTGTTCAAGGTGGCGCGGCTAAAGCCCTGGTCCACACGTTTCCTTTTGATACATGGACCGTTTGTGTAATGTGTATATATTTATATATATATACAAGTTACAACCTGACTTTCACATTCCACGCGCCTATTTCAACAATGAATATAACATGGTTAAAGCCTATTTTTGCGCACATTCAAAGTTATTTGGCTCATGTGCCCTCTATTGGTTTTTAGGTAGTTGCTAATGCCAACATGTGTTTTCAATGCACGTATATGACTAGGATTGTGCATATTGACATATATTTGCCTAACCTTCAAACCTATACCTTCGTCTATTCGCGTGTTAACATTTATATAGATATACATTTATTTATATATATACATTATGCTTTTTAATGTCTCCACATTTAAATATACATATACAGCGATGTCCAGGATTTGCATGCATGTTTGATTTTTAGCTGTCTGTGGACATATAGCAGACTAAAACCTCAAAGTATTGTCATGTATACATGCATGCATACATCCGCACACACACATACGTACATACATACTTATATCTATACACGTATTCATACTTTTTCACACTTTATATTTACAAATATTGATTGAAATGTATACACATGCAATGCGCACTTCCGCTTACAATTTTCATCCTTTGTTCACTTACGATACATGTCCAACTAGCAGTTTTTGTAGTGCATGTTTAGTTATGTATATATATATTTTTTTCATTTGTATTTAGATTTGTCACGAAACGTTGTTTCTATCAATATTTCCTGAATATCCAAAGAGGGAGATGGAGTTTGTCAAAAGAGATGAAGTGCATAAACATACCATACCTGTATGTTGTTTTGTTTCACCATATGTCTTCAGCATTGCGAATCTTTAATATGCAACATACACATTCATATGTATGATGGTCCTGGAGCCCTGTGAAGGATTTACACTGACCAACAACGTTTTTCAGGCATTTTTCTATACAAGTAAAATACACTTTTATACATCCAAATTTGGCAAGACGTTCATATACATATACGTATAAATGCTTATTTATTAATTTGTTTACCCTATTTACCATGAATTACTTTGAACTATATATATACATATTCTTCGTTATTGATCATACATTTTCCAAAGATAGGCATGAAAATTGGCAGGCCGATCAGGCGGCCAAGACGCTGGCGAGTCGCTCCATGAGTTCGCCAGGCCGGGGGAGGTGGGTACCAAATGGTCCTGGGAAAACCTTTGCTTAGGACCATGGCCAATCCGATTGGTGATGAAAATGGATTAGTAAGTCAACCGCAGTCACTTTACCTATTTTTAGTTCATCATTTAACATGAAATTGTTGTTATATTAACTATTCTGATTGATACCTGGTGCTTCATTCCACGAATCCGCTGCTAGGTTTTATCCCTGCTTCATCCGGTGGGATAAGTAGGGTTAATCCACTTGCAACTGTGGTGAACTAACTTGCTTACGATTCACCATAGTCTACGGTGGAATAACCTAAACAATTTACAAAGCGGACCCCCGAGCTGTGTTTGTGGGTTGATAACTATCACTAATTGCAGTTTTAAAAGTGCACATCATGGCCCTAGCCCTCATTGCTGGAGCTGTATGCCAACTTAGCTAATGGTTTTGGACCCCCCCCAACTGTGTAAGAAACAAGCCACAAAAAAAAACTAGCGGGAAGCTACCAGCAATTGGAGACATCTGAGAATAATGTTCGGGACGTAACCGGACTAACCTAGGTTAGCGACCCGGGCCAATCAACCCAATGAGCTGAACTGCAAGTTGACCGCCCCGTCGGTGGCATGAAAAATGCTGCATCGGTGGCCAAGCATGCGCCAACGGGAGGCGGCAACGCGGGAGCACCAAACCACCAAAAGCAGGCCTCAACCGATGCAACTGAAACTGATGCACTCCGGAAAGGAAAAAATGCACAGCCAAGCGAGGTCCCGCTCATGAAACGGCCAGCTTCACTCGTCGTCCGCCTAGCATGGTTTGCAGGTGCACTCATGGCTACGGCAGCTGGATCTGGCCAACCTGGACTATGGCAGCTGGATGTGGTGTCCAAAGTGGATATGACGGTGTACAACCGCCTGTGACAGGTGGATGTGGCCAACCTGCCCCTCCATGTGGCCTCCAACCTGGATATCATGAAGGTGTACAACGACCTATGGCACCTGGACCTGGACCTGTATGACCACCTATGGCAGAGAATCAAGCCATGTGGTGGGGCCAAATATCAATGAACTTCTGATGGCTTACGCAAACATACACAAACCAACTTACCTAAAGAAAATAGAACTGTTCTATCCTCATACTCAAAAACCAACTTACCCATCATAAAACAAATGCTACAGATTCCAGTACGACCCCATGTGTTTTGCTCATATTCTGAAATTTGTTTAAAGTTCAAGATGGTTGTTGGTTGAATTTCCAGCCAAAAATGTTCCATTCGCATTTTTTCAATTCGATGCCATTTGGTGGCTCATATCCGTATGATTGGTTGTCAAACCCAAGGTTTTTCTTTAAACAATGAAATTTAAATCATTTTCGATCAGTCTATGTGGTTATTCCTTGAAGTGTTTTTTTTGTTTCTGTTTTCGTGTTTGTTTATTTTTGTCGCCATCGTCGTCCTCGTCGTTGTTGTCCTCTTAAACAAACATTTTTTTGCTTGGCCGAAATTCACACTTGAAATCCCAAGTAAACCCTGATTTGTGGCGGTTCAATCTCTCCCATTTTGCCAATCTTTTCACGTTTCTTCAAATCGTATCGTTACAGGACTCCGGCCGGGGGATGCTTTCAAATACCTCTACCAGGCGAGCACATTTCACCGCTGGTGAAACCGGGCGAGCACATTTGGGGGGATGCACAAATCTCCAACTATTTTGGTGTGAATCGAAGTGTAAGTGGGTTTTGACCCACAACCACTTTACTCCGATTAAACACACAGTCATCACAAATCATGTCTTGTTGTTTGGCTGAATCATGGAGAAACTGAGTATAGGCTGGCGACTTGCATTCAAGTGTAAACCTTGTTTGGGTAGTTTCGTGTTGTATTTGTTTGCCAGCAGTGGGGTTGCTAACCAGCGAGATTTATTTTTGCAGGTTATTGTGGATCTTTACATAACTGACGAAAAGCCAATGATGTCAATTAGTGGGGGAACATGTGTGTGTGTGTGCGAGGTTGGACACGGATATGAGGCAAAGTTTTCAAATACCAGCCATGGAAAATGGATGATTTACCACGACAAACGACGAGGCCTGTCGATAGTTGGTTGGTTCATGCTTAAACCATAATTTATTTTCCATGGAAATTTTTGTACCCAAATGTTGCTAATCAACCCAAATGGTGGTTCTGATTCACAAGAATCGTGATTTCAAATTTCAAGGAGAGATTTGCCAACAAAAGTGCCATTGCTATGATGCTGGGACACCCCAAGCCCATGGACTCTTCCTGCACAGCTCCTGTGTTCGGAACTGCATGATCAGGGAAGGCTATGAGAAATTAATAGGGTTGGGCATGCCAATCTCATGTTTGTGACCTAGCATCGGGCAAAATTGTCACTGGTTGATAGTTTCAAGGTGGTGCCCCAGTTCGTTAGCTAAGTTGGTTTTTAACTCCAATAACTATGGTTTATGGTAGATATCTATATTTACTATGGTTTATAAACCAACTTTATAACTGTGGGGGCACCACCTTATATGTAAGTCATGTAATGTTAGGGGTTTATTGGGAAGGCTCCGAATGGCAGGACGCAGCACGGCGAGAAAAGTCTCTGTTGGAAAGGCCGAAGGGTGACAGCACATAGGATGTCATGTCCTCGTTCAAATCACAGGAGATTTTGATTTAACCTATATATATATAGAGGTGATTGGTGATTTGGCATGATTTTTTCCATATATTGGGAATAATCATCCCAACTCATTAATATTTTTCAGAGAGGTTGAAACCACCAACCATATATATAGGTTCGTATTTGTATATATATATATATGTATATGTATATATATTTATATATGTATTTATTGATTTACTGTAAATCAGAAGATTTTTCATGGGGTATTTTGAAGCAACCTTTAGCTCTCAAAATGCTGATTTAATGATGATCCTGCTTGGAGGGTGGGGTTTTAGGTGATCTGATTGCGTTGGGAGATCCCCGGGAATGGGGGACTTGATGACCAGACTTACATATAGTTACTAGGTTTGAAACATTATTTATCCATTCAGTTGGGAACAATCATCCCAACTGACTTTCATATTTTTCAGAGGGGCTGAAACCACCAACCAGTATATAAATGGGATAGTTGTCCAAGTTGTGTACACCCTACACCCGATGGCTATATTACTTTCATGAATGACAAGTTTGAAGGGACATATACACCATTTCCAACACATCAATATCCATAATATTCTTTTCACAGCTCATTGAAACCAAAAGGTGGGTTGGATTGCTAGGGGATTCCCACAACAAGGTTTTGGGCCACCAGCATCATATTACAACATATTTTTCAATTAACAATTTTCCCCATATTTAATCATTTATTTGATTGTATCTGAATTTATTTGACTTTATTTGAATTTATTTGCAGTGGGACCTCCCTGGGGTTATCAAGCAATACATAGCAATACATCATGTGACAAGCAAATGTGTTTTAAATCCTTTCACCCTAGAAACTCAACATTTGACAACACAAGGAAATATGATAACAGCTGACAGTTGGGCAGCAATTCTGCCGCTGGCCTCGGCAAAGTTGCTGTAAGGTTGCGTTAGTTTATTTGGTTTTTTCTTGTTTTTTTCTTGTTTTTTGTTTTTTTTCCAGCAAATTTGAGAGATTTTGAGATTTTTTTGAGATTTTTTGATTTTTTTGAGATTTTTTGTGTTTATTTGAGATTGTTTGGGATTTTTTGAGATTTTCTATGGTCCAGAAAAATATGCAATACAGAACCCAGTCTCACAAAACCACGTTTGAAAAACAACATCAGAGAAATTTTGAGATATTTTGAGTTATTTTATTTTATTTTTTAATAAAATTGGTTCCATTGTCCTTTTCAAATTTAATTTTATGTTTTTTCCATTTTTCATTTTTATTCATATTATTTTCATTATTATTCATGTTTTTATATTTTCATATTTTTCATGTTTATTCATATGTTTTATTTTTTCATATATTTTCATATGTTTGATTGGAAAAAACCATTGCCAATCTAGACCACTGCAGATCTAACCTACGTTTTGGTGTTGCTGAACAGCATATGAAATCCAACTCCTTTGAAGTGTCTTGAAACCACCGGCTGGGTCAAAGTTGCTAAGTCCATCAGTGATTACCTTCCAGTAAACATACCAAAAAATATAGATGGAACGCCCATGGGTTTCACGTTTCCATATCTATGTTGGTTTGCTGGGTGGTATTCCATGGAATCAGTCACAACTAATTCTTGTGTCTTCAGAATATCGAATCGAAGATTCACGAATATCCTCATTGACATTACTTTAAAAAAAATATATAAAAGTAACCCATCTAGCAAAACTAGACCAAAAAAAACATTTGCCACTACTTTATTATGTCTGTGTGATTTATATGTCGTTTTTTTCTCTCTAACTCGCGGAGCTGCTCTGTATATCCAGCGGAGAGACGTCTGTTGATGTCTGTCACCAGAAGCCAGGCAGAAGAGGCAACTGGAGGCGGAGTTGGAGGAGACATCTGTCGAAGTGTCGGAGATCATCGGAATATCATGGGAATCTGATGGGAGTATTTGGGAATATGATGGAAGTCTGATGGGAACCTCTGGGCCTGCTGTTTTTGATGGGGTTATAGGTGGGAGAAATATAGCTATCCTGAAGATATTTGATGGGAAACTAAAAGCATGGTGATTCAAAAAATATACCTGGATTTACGATGATTTTGTTTCGTTTCCCAATGGGAAATCCACTATGGGGAATGTGCTTCTTTGTTGAGAGGGGTCTGCAAATCGTCGTAGTTTCCCAAGCATCCCCAGCCAATGAGGATTCTGAATGAATCATGATCCAAAGCCATCCATTGTTGGTTAATCAATAGCCCATTCAGGTACCTAAAATTGAGGTACTGTACCATATAAGGCTAAATGTTGTGGGGATTCTCCCTTAGGCCCTAAAAAATAGACCTGATATATGATCATATATGGTAGGTACCTCCAATCAATCGCAACCTGAAACGGCCAAGGAGTTAATGTCGGGTTATAGACCCATTCTTCAGCATTGATCTACGATATTCTACGGTTAAGGTTGATCTGGATTTCACCAACTTATGGAGAAAAGAGGTGATGCAGAATGGCTCGGTACCACAAAACCATTTCTGTCAATACTAAAATGGTCATCCATGACTTGGATGATTTTGGGGTAGCTATATTTTAGGAACCCTTCAAATTAGTATGATTAAATATGATTCATGGTCCAGGTAAATACATAGGTTCATGATTCCTGGGGTGATCCCAGTCCTTTTTGCGGTTGGCAACTCGCAACAAACGCAACCATGCTGAAATTCAATTGACCCGACTCGGCTACAGTGGGCCAATCTGGGGCAACCATGTCTTTTTCCCCGCAAGATATCATGCAAATTTCTGAAAATACATGAAGATACGGTGGATGGAAGAAATCTGCACCAGTTGATAGGCGGTTTATCCCATTATTTTTAGGGTTTCAACCATCCAGGTGATGCAGGATTTCTTCCATCCACAGTATGATGAAACATGTACATGTCCCACTAGACTCTTTTGTGAGTTCCTTCACCCACCTGCTGACAGGCTCACAGTGACACAAACACATCCATTCAGGGAAGATCTTCAAAATGGTCTTGGGGCATGTTTCCTTGGGGCGTGAGATCCACCACAATTTCCCAATGGTTCCAGAAAGCCCATGGCAAGTCATGAGCCCACAGTAGGTTGAAGCAGCAGATCTTGGTAACGATTGGAGCTTTTCTTCATGTTTTTTGGCAAGTTGTATGTGTATGTAGATATATGGTACCCAATTACTAAATCAATAGTGTGATTTGCTGACCCATTTAGGCTATTCCAATCTTCAGGACCAAGTCCCCATTGGTTCTTGCTATGTTTAACGCCTTGTGCGCTCATATATCTCCCATTTTGCTAGCACGTATTAGCTCTCAGCCCCCAACAGTATCCCATTGTCAAACACAGTATCCCATTATATTCAAATAGAGTTATTGTCGTTTCCTATCCAATACATCCCATTATTCCAGGATCAGATGGGAAATGTTACAGGAAACCTCCAAAAATGTGTGGCTTGAAACCATGGTTTCCACTCAAGATGTTCCTTCCACCCGTCCATTGAAAGTCAAATATCTGGCTCATTTGGTTGCATTATCACCCTTACAACACCCATGAATGTTGGTTAAACCCATTCAGAACCAGAGGGTCACTATTCATAACCATGTTTAACTGTTTAACCCCTATTAACTACTATTAACACCATAGCTCATCACCAAAAGAACTGTTAAAGCATGATACAGAACCCATAGTTCACTATGATCAACCCTTATTAGCCTTGATTTTCACGCCATTCAGCAGATTGCTATGTTTCGCCATGGACTGGGCCGCCCTGGCTGCCGCGCCGCCGCCGCTGGTGGCACCGCTGGTGACGCCCACGTTGTGGGCCCATGAGCCGGTGCCGCGGCACACTGTGCGGTGGAACCAACCATATTTGTAGGGTTAAGTTCTGGGATTTGTAGGGATTTATAGGGATTTTAGTACTGGGGAATGCTGGGGAGATGTGACATCTTTAGGCAAATGACTGGGATTAAACATATCAAACGGATTAAACTACCAATGGGAACAGGAATAGAATGGGGATTCTAACCAACTGGATATGAGTCTTGGCTGGTGGGCTTTCAGTCCTGACTATGTGGATACTATAGGCTATATATGGGTGCAGAGAAGAAGGCAGCGAAGGCAGAGACACATTGGGAGGGTTTTGGACGGCGCGTGTCAAATCCATATCTCGCATTCAAACCAATTGTTTTATGATCTGTCCAATGGGCTCAGCATTGCCCAAGCCGTCTCCAAAGAACTTGAGGAGCACACTCATCTGGCAGCTTCCAAGAGCGCTCCGGTGGGCTTCCGCTGCGGGGTCCTGTTGGCACACGTTTTCGAGCGCGGGCGGAACCGTGAAAGCATATCGTTGTTTCCTCGAGACACGTCACTCAACATTACAAGGTGGCTGCGTGTCGTCTACGCGCTACTGCTGCTGGTTCAGGCTTTTTTGGCACTTGTCGGCAGTTGCCCCCACAAGAACCTTGGCTGCGGTACTGGAGCATAGTCTTGATGTCATTGTACTGGACTCGCTGTCGAACTTCTGGCCTACTCCTCGCCTGTTGTTGATGTGGCCCTTGGCCAGAACTGCCATCCACACCTCGTCGTGCCCCATGCAAACCAGGACCGAATGGTTGCATGGCGTTTTGCGTTTAGCGCTGGAGGGTTCCCCTGTGTTACTCCTGGCAGGCCTTATATCCCCTTCGCATCCTGCCCTTGCTCTGGTCTTCCTGGCTAGCTTCGCCGGGCTGGGTAGTGCTTGCTTGCAAGTCTTGCTATTCATTCCACGGTATCGTCCAGGATCACACCGATGGCAGGCAACTAAAAACGATGCATGCATACATACATTCATACATACATACAGGCATACATACATACATACATACACACATACACACATACATACATGCATGCATGCATGCATACATACATACATACACACATACAGACATACATACATACATACATACACACATACACACATACATACATACATGCATGCATACATACATACAGACATACATACATACATACACACATACACACATACATACATGCATACATGCATACATACATACATACAGACATACATACATACACACATACACACATACATACATACATTCATTCATACATACATACTTGCAGACATACATACATACATACATACGTACTTGCATACACACGTACATACATATATACATATATACATGCATACATACATCCTTGCATCCTTGCATGCATACATACATACATACATACTGACATACATACATACATACATACCCTTCCCTGTCCTTTTCCCTTTACCTTTCTCCTTTCCCACTAAAACTGCAAAGCAGTGATAACCTATAGATGGCGCAATCCAAAATTGTTGTTTTCCAAACAAACTAAACCCCAAATTCATTGCGATCTTAATACTAAACTAAACTAACCTGGAGGACAACAGGCTGTCAACCCAATGTGATGGGAACATATAGATGGCGCAAATATCCCATTCGTTCAGGTGTCTATAGATTGCTAAATAAAAAATTAGCGCCACGCACTATCAGAATGTGGTATTTGGGACAGTGCAATCGGGATGGGATTATTCTACGGCTATCCAGGTTCTAGTATTCAGTCTGGCAATGAAACTTAGCCCATATATTCTGATTTCGAGGGATATAGCCCCAGAGAGAATAGAATGGGACAGTCGATCGTATGGAAGCAACAATTTGATGTGCCACACATTGCAAAAGAAAATTCATTTTAAAAAGTAGGTAAAATCCATAACTAATCATAACTTGTATATAATCGATATTTCTGATCTGATAGAAATCGGTAGTCTATTTATTTGTATTTTTTCCTAGGGGAGTTTTGCCTACCTTTCAATACGAAATCCATTGTTTATGTTATTGTTTTCCTGCTAAAACTACGCTGTGTAAAGGATGTCCCATTGTTTCAAATTTGGGCGTGTCATAAAATGGTGGATGTAGCAAAAACGGCCGTACTTTGGATCGGAAAAAGGCGTTGAGGGCCAAATCATTACTGCGTCCGCCCCATGCCTGTTCAGTTAATGGAGTTTCTATTCTGTTCTGATTGATAACGGTGTTTGATCGCAATTACCCAATACAGAAGGGATTATCATCATCCGTGAAATGGGATTGGCAATTGACTAACAAGTACGAGGGAATGACAGAGGGTTCTGAACATTGCCCAGATGCTGTTGCATGCTGCTGAGGGACGCAAATACTTCTCCCAAGGGTTTGAATTCTCGCGTTCCTTGCCAGTTCCCACAGCATCAGTTTGTGAGCAAGACCCCGAATGCTCTTCAACAAATGCTACTACAAGGTGGCGCCCCAGTTCGTTAACTAAAATTGGTTTTGTTATGTAGGCCAACCCATAGTATATATATATGTACAAAGATGCATCGAACAATTTGCCACTACTTATGGGCTTGGGGATTTTTGGGGTCTTTTCAAATCAACACTGTGCCGGAAGCCAAGGATAGCTACCTGGCTCGAGGGGTGCTGGTGTGTGAGGTGCCGCCAAAACAACCCGGGTAAAAAGGTCGCTAAAAGGATTTTTGTAAATAACGTTATATTCCTGAATGGTGTAAAGGTATATTTGATCAAGGATAGTGTTAGGTATGATGTTTTTAGCATATCCTCATTATCTCGTTCAAAGATGGTGCAGCATAATTGGTATTCATGTTGGTGACCTAGTGCAAAGGTTTGATTATATTATATGTTTCGTTTCAATTGGGTTTCTTTTCGTTTAAGGGGATTCTCGGGTAAAAATTGGTTCAGGATAGCTTGGCCCATCAAGGGGTTTTAGATCTGTGCCACCTGAGTCATTTATAAAAACCCCTCTGCGACCTCACTGGACTGATGGTCAGTAGGAAAAAGTTAAAACTCATCATCTTTAGCAAATCCAAGTATGGCTCATTCATGAAAACCTTTGGAGATTTTAAGGTAGAACCCCCATTATCCCATGTTGGTGGGTCAGTGATATCTGCGTGTCCTTTGGTTAACCATTAAACCTGTCATGTCTGGTTCTTGATTTTTCTCATGTTTTATACCAAGCAAAATGATGGTTGCTGTGTGGATTCTGATGTTTGAATGGGTGCATTCCTATCATGAGCGGGCAATATCCCAATTGAACCAGCATTTTGCGGATTAGTGCTTATTCTTGTGAATGGTTTTTGACTTTTGACCCCAAGAGAACGTGTTATTTTCTATATGTGAACAATTTCCCAGAGAAGCTGCGATGCGATGAGATCAGATGAAATGAGAAAAGGTTCCACGCCCAAAAGACATGGCATCAGATTGACCAGTCGAGAGATTGTTGCTGCGAAGCACAGGAGGCTTGCCTGTCACCTACAGGCACAGCCTTTGCATCGCTCTATAGGCTATAAGCGTTTCAATTTTGAAACTTCCGTCCCCGGCTTTCCCGGGCACTACTTGTAGTACAAAGTAGTACTGGGAAGTTCTTTGCGCAAACTTTTGTAGTACATCGAACGACTTTTAAAGATTCAGTGTCTTGGGCATCTATTTGGGTAGGTTATAGTAATTCACTAACAATAAAGTCATTAGCGAATCGATGAAGGGAATATGGGTTTAATTTTTGGGGGACCACCGCAACAGATGTCAGGAGGGTCGCTGGAAGCTGCATGCTGAAGTCATGGATGAACAGAATGCGGCGTTTCCCATGGAGGAGTGACTTGCCAAAAATGGGCTGAGGACAGGATGGAGGACGGGAGGTGATGTCCTAGTTTCCCTTTGTTGCTTGTAATTTGGGATATAATATATAGTTGTAAGTTTTAAGTAATCACCACCATCAAAACCTTAAGTTGGTCTAAAAGTTGGCGCATAGTATTTTTACTGTGTTAAGTAGGTTTTATGATAGTTACCGCTGTCATTAATTAATTCGCTTTGGAAACCAACTTATACCGGTTGTCACTATAAGGTATGTAACCTTACGATGAACGGAAAGGTACACGGTGAAGGCTTTGTGAGTTGAGAGAATGTTCGGCCATGTTCATGGAAGAAAATCATCATACCTACCCTGGCTACTTATTTATTGTCACATTATTAATCCTAACCTACGTTCATATCAAACACCCATCAGAAACCATGATTTGATAGGAACTTACACATATTTGTAGGACCATATAGGGATGTTTGAAATAGGAGAAATGGGATTAGATGAGAGTATTCCATTCAAAGTTGGGATTTCCCTTGCCATGTTAAATTGCACAGAGGGTAAGTGAAAATATGTTCGATTGTGCTGATCATGCACTTTGCATGTCAGCAAGAAAGTAACAGTTCAAGTGCCCACACGTTGGATAATTCCCAATGACTCAAGGCTTCCGCTACATCTACATATTTTGGGCAATATATCTAATAGAACATGATTTGGAGTGTGCGTAGGCCTATTTCTGTGTATATATGTATCCAAATAGATTTAGATCGTAGACATTACATTTGTGTATATATATATATGTGTGTGTGTGTATTTATATAATTGCATATGACAGAGATTCTTGATTTTTCGTATAGATGTCGTTGATTCTCAGTTGAGAATGAAAGATGTGTATAGACATTATCTCCATATATACATATATACATATATCATACATATACATTTACACATATGTATATATAACCTGAAGTCATGAGAGTTTCAAAAACATATTTAGGGAGAATTGTGGGTTATTACCATATCCTTTCTACACCAGCATGACTATATCTACATTGCTATTTACTGTTTATACACTGTATATATATATGCATATATTTGTCGTAAACCAACCTCATTAGATTCTCCACGAACTATACAGTAGATGTATCTACCATATTTTCCAGTTATGTTTGTTGGTTTTCCCCATTAGATTAATGATATATTGTAGATATATGACATACAATTCAACGATTACTATTAACCTATGTATTATTACCATATATATATATGTACCAGATGACTATATTACCATGGTGTCACTTTTTGTTACCACATACCACTGGTACGTAATGTGTCTAAAATCATAAACCACCCTTGTCTGCACCGTTTCTACCACCCTTTCGTGGGGGGATCAGCGAGGTGGCAACGCACGGCCATTCGCTGGGTGGCTGGATCCGATGGTGGAAATCAATGGATTGGGACAAGTTTCACAATTTTTTTCATGGTGTTTTTTCCATGACACTGGGATTGGTTGAAGGGAAAATCTGCAGGAAACCATCGTTTTACCAATGAAATACAGGGATTTCCCGTGAAATGTCCCTTAAACCAATCCAATGTGGAAAACTAGCAATGGATTAATGGATATGAATGGACTATTGATGGTGATATGGGATAGGGATATTCATGAATATATTTGGTAACCCTGGGGTAAAGATAGAAAAAAAGGTGGCAAAACCCGTAGAGAAACGCGTTTGGAAAATGATCTAGAAATGGTGGATTCTCCACATCGAATTGTTCGCAGATGGGGATTTGGAAATGACTTACTGGTGCTAAACGTACGGAATGGATGGGAATGCCGGAATGGGATTACTATTGATAGTTATTGTGGATCATTCCCTCATTCCCTACTACGCACAAGTAAGATGAACACCAAAATCAAAGACCATTGGTATACGAAATCAATCTTTTAAGTGATTGCGGAAAACCAAAGCTAGGTCAATTATATTCCTAATTTGAATTCATGGTGCATGGCATTCCTAATTGGCAGATGGTTTCTGATAATGGGTATAGCCAAAACAATAAAATGAGGAATGTTATATACCAGCATATCAGTACATTTGATACATAAGGAAATTGGTAATGAGTGTGGCCAACTATGGAATTTTATGTAATTGTTACTATTGAATTATCTGTAAAACCATGGAACACAGAAAGTACATCAGTAAACCATCCATCAATGAAATGTGTGGGAAGTAGCCCCACTTATGTCAGGGTTGCTAGGGTCCCCCATGGTACAACCTATTATTCTGTAGGTGAATGTTTGAATGATAGCCACAAGGGGGAACACTTGTCATTTTGCCTCTTTATCCCAAACTAGCATGTTTTCATCTTCTATCTGGGGTGTTGGAAGAACTGATCCAGCTACAGGAAGCAAACCGGCATTTGGTCAATGATCCCTATTCTGTTGGTTCTCGGGCAAAGCCAGGCCGTTTCAAGCGAAATTAATCTTGGGGATTGTAACCACGAACAAATTAGCCGATTAAACCCTCATTTGTTGCTAGGTAATTGGAACAGTTTACCCGTTTATGAACTATGTGTTCATTGAAAAGCACGTGTTACCGCAAAGTGGTGCCACTTCCGATCGCACCTTGGCCCATCCAAGTACTTCCCAAATCTCAGATTTTCCCAGTCATTCCCCGTGAATTTTCCTATTGTTTTGGTAAATCCATTAATCGAATTCTTCAAGTATCACCACAAACCTATGTTGGTTGATGTTCCCATTAGCTCTAGTTCCAATCACATCAAATCACCATAAACCACCCCAAAAAGGAGGAAGACAGAGTCACATGTCATCCTCATACATCCCTGCAACATCTGAGATTTCCCATGGATTTTCTGGTTGGTTTTTTTCAAACATGAATCTTAATTTTCCATAATATATGGGATGTCATCCTTCCCGTTGACGAACTCATATTTTTCAAGATGGTTAGCACCACCAACCAGATTAATATCCCATGAATCATCACCATTATAACTATGGAAAATCACAATTTTTAATGGGAAAATCAACTATTTCTATGGCGAAACATTTCTATTTTCCATGGATGTCCCCACACCGAGGCTCTGGAAAAGGAGTTTGAGACCGCCAGCTTTCCCTGGCGACCTGGAGACGCCTGCGAAGCGCGCGACCGCTCCGGGCGCGACCGCGGCTTTCCGGCGGTGCATTGCCAGGTGGGGGCTGTGATAGCGACATCAAATGATGGGAATAAATATAGGAAACACGTATATGGTTAACCAGTCCCAATATGGTTAACAGTGGTCAATAGTGGTTAATGAGATATCTGGTTGGTGGTTTGGAACATGATTTTTGTGACTTTCCATATTTTTGGAATGTCATCATCCCAACTGACGAACTCATATTTTTCAGAGGGGCAGGTCAACCACCAACCAGTATAGGAAACACATATTATTCATATTATGGTACTTGGTGGTGAACTATCCACGAATCGTAAGTAGGTTGGTTCACCCCAGTTGTAAATGGATTAACCTTACTTATTCCACTGGATGAACCAGGGATATAACCTACTTAGGGTTCGTTGGATGAGCCACCAAGTAGTATAGAATGGTAATTAATATGGTCATTATAGTAGTTCATATTCCGTATGATTTGTTTAATATATTAAATAGGATATAAATGGTTTCAAATGATGGTAATGATATATGTTGTTAATTGTACTTCAGATGTCTTAATTACATTAAGGTGATATATATATATATATTGGTCATATATGGTACATTCGTGCGGTTGAAACCAACAACCAACAACCAGCAGAGGCAAGTTCCGACTGCTTCCCCTTTCCGTTTCAGGCGGATTCCCTCACCTCCGTGGCTGCGCAGATTCGCGATGGCCAACTGATCCTACGTCGCCGAGATGAACGGAAAGACGGCGTTCAGTTAAGTCAACAAACTACAACTATCGTAGTAATCACAATAATATATATATATATGTGGGTTCACCCTATATATATATTTATTTATTTAACATTACATAGCTTTATATTTATTTTATACGGGTTCACCATATATATATATATAAGTATATATGTGTAGAGAGAAAACTTAATAATAATGATTGGAATAATACTGAATAGAACTATTAATATAATAACATGTCAAAAATAGCAATATATAGGTAACTAACATTGGTTTGTACCGGGATGACAATGGGGAAAAAACGGATATGAGTGAATGAACCAAACAATAATCATCAAAAATGATGAAGCATAGTGATTAAAATAACTGTCAAAAAAGGGGAGCCTATACCCAAAAAAAAAGAGATTTGCAACGGGTAGCTGGGAAATGCCCACAATTGAGAAATCATCGCGCTAAATGGTGAATTTTCCAGCAAACCATGTTTGATTGCCGGAAGGTAGACAGGTCTCTAAGTCTGGAAAAAGAACTTGGGTATTTTAATACTCGTTTTTTGATGAATGGTAATGGCAATTGGCCACGTAAACTGGTGTATGAATGGATGTTGTTTTTTTCTAGTACCCACCAATCGTCAATTTTAAGGTAATCAGCTATCAAAAACTCTTCATATATTTAATGATGCATAACTCTTGGTTACTGTTGTTCCCAACTTGGCATCTTGAAAAAAACATGGGATGAATTGACCCTGGGCACCTTCCCAAGCGACTTCATAGACCTCAACGTTGATGCTTCGCATATGCGGTGCCATCCCCGGTATTGACTGTAGTTGTGAACCGATTCCCAATTCAAATGGGTCTGAAAATGGGATATATCCCCCAATCAAATGACCTTTTTTGCTAGGGAAAATGATATCTATCAAGTTTGGGGGTACCCTATCAAGTTTGGGGGTACCCTATTTTAACACAAACCCATTTTTAACATGCGATGGTACCTACAATGGCAGTTGTACTGTCCAGTGTCGTTTCGATTGGATTTGGATGTACCTGGTTAAGCCTGGTTATCATAAATTAGTCCACACGGTGTTTCGATACGCAGTATATCTATCCACAGGTTTCGTTTGTGATTTGATGGTTTATTGTTTTGACCTATCATATCCGAATTTCGGTTGGTCATACCCCCAAGTCTTATCACTGACGAATTACCATGCTAACTGCGGGTTCCAAAGATTTTGAAACAACCTGAACATGTTCAACATATGTCAACTCTATGTGGGGCCGTACTAGGGGGTGGGCTTCCACTAACAAGTGGCTTATATTTCACCATGTTATAGAGGTTATTTCCCAACTTATTGAGATTATTACCGTATCAAATTTCAGAAACCTAAATTGGAGGTACCTACCATATATAAGGCCTATATAAGGCCTATGTAAGGGAATATCCCAGCAAAATATGGCCTTATATGGTACAGTACCTCCATTTTAGGATCCTGGAATTCCCATTGACCATAGATCAATTCATGAATAACCCCAACTGCACCTCCATGAATCAATCTAAATCAGCTATGAATGAACTCCCCATGTTTCCCCATGTTTGTTGCTGTTGACCATTTCCCCATGCTGCATCCCAGGTTTGATGCAGACTCTGTACCTGGAATCGCCACGGCATTGGACTCTTCGTGGGATCAACATCGGAGCTGCCTGATTTTCGATGGGAAATTGGTGTTGGGAATAGCATTCCAAATGGTAATCCCCCAAATCACCCATTTTTATGGGTGGTATACACCATCCCCAAATGGTAGGTTTATTATTGGGTTTCCCACTTTGTATCGCATCCATTAACATTCCAAATGGATGTTTCCTAAGTCATGGGGGTACCCCCAGTTCTCATCCATTTAGAAACGGATGTTCCATGAAATCAATCATCTACTTTGGGGTACCACCATTTGTTGAAACCCCCAAATATTTTCGCGGATATGCAATTTCGAACATATTTCGATCATCTGGATTTTGGCTTCTTGGCTCAATGGGAAATCCACTAGATACATCTAGAGGAATGTTGATGGGGATATTAGTAGGATTTTATATACAATATATTATGGGATGATTGGGACTATATAAATGACATAATATGGATTTGCTGAAGATGATGTGGCTTATTTTCTCAATGGGAAATCCACTAGATACTAGGGAATCGATGAAGCGAACGGTTTTTATTTTCTTGAGTGTTTTGCAGAGGGAAATTCACTAGATATGGGGAATTGATCAAGGGAATTTGTTTTATGTTTTGGAGGTTCCCTCTTGGGGAATCCATCAAGGGACTATGTGGGCCATGTTTTCGGGTCTGCTTTAAGCAAATCCAAGGCTGGCATTGACAACTTTCCGGTTTGTGAAGGTGCGATGCTGGTGGTTGAAACGGACCATGGTCATGTCATGGAACTGAAACCATCAATTTTTAGGGATCAACCGGGACATGATCCGCATCTATGTTTGAAACAATTTTTGTTCTTGCAATGAATTGTGAAATGAATTGGGGGTGGTGTGGGGTTGGTGGGTTGTTGGCTTGGGAGCTTAGGAGTACCACTTGGTGACTTGATCAAAGTGTGAATGGATTGTAGCCATGCAGATCTAGATGTTTGTGCGTTTCCGGCTTTCGGTGGGTACAGATTTAGGTGGGTACAGATTTATCCCACCAACTTTGTTGAAGTATGAAGCATCACAAGACCAAAGGCTGCTCATGCTGCGTTTCTTGCCTCTTGGGATACGAGAACAACCTTTGTCGATCGGTTTTATGGGGATATCCTACCTTATTTGATACAGTAGGGTTGATCAGACCATGCCATACTCGGATGCACCAACTCTGTTTGTTAATTTTTGTTCCACGTTTCGCATGAGTAGCGCGAACGTAAGGGTTTAAGCTTCCTCATGATGTGTTGTTACAATTGCGGTGAGGGTTCCCAAGATCTTGTCGTTTGATTCTTGGATGGTTTACCTTAGAGGAGTGTACGACTCTGCACTGTATATCCAACGAAAAATGACAGGATCAACGAGGCACCTAACCAGCAAAAGTTAAGAGTTAAGCCCAATATATGGAATGAGAAGGTGACTTCTCCAAGACCAAACATCGAATCCAGGTGGTTTCAAAGGTTGCAGGGAAGAACACCTTGTATAGGGCTGTTCCAAATTTCCAGAACATTCTTTTGTGAAAAGGACTCTGTTCCACCACCATCCAGCTTTCTAGTCGCCTGGTTCGGCAACGGATTTTCAGGATGGTGATATGCTCCATCACTGTTCGAGAATGTATCGAATGATATCGATATTAGTATTCCTGAGACTTGGTCATTCAATTTTCCCAAATGTATATATATATATATGTATGTACAAAAGTAATATGATATAATGTAGTACAATATATATATACACCATATTTTTCACTGCGGTAATCAAACATGGCTTGCTGGGAAATTCCCCATGGCTACTTCGATGATTTTCCAATGTTTTTGTCGCAAACGGAGAGTCCGGTAAATTGGGTAATGTATATAGTAATCTAAATTTAATAAACATACGAATTGTCAATACATATATACAATTACAAATTACCGAAGGAAGTCTAGAAGTCAAACTTCTGACACTATGGACAGATGAAAAGCAGAGATGGGAAGAGTCAGAGGAAAGAAGAGACGAAGAAAGAAGCTCAAAAACAGAAAGTCTCAGAAGAAAGAAGATCCAGGTGCGCGAAAAGGTAGTGATGAACATACGACAGCATGCGCAACATGTTCACAAAAGGCGAAAATCAAATCCTGTACCCTCATTTTGGCAGCCTTCATTTTTCAAATTTGCGACCCTTCCAAGGGATCGTAAATGGCGCATCTAAAAATTAACATCCCTTCCAAGGGCGGCGTATCGGCTGCATGCCAAAAACAAGAATCATGAACCTAAGCCACAAAAACCATGCTAAAAAGACAGGAAAATAACGTGGAAAAAAATGGTGCCCACCATAAGAACATTTCTCTTGTTGGCGCTGCAGGCCGTGTACGACCGCGTCAAGCAGGTTGCGGAAGTTCTGGCCCGCCGGCCACGCGGGCCTGGCGCGCCCGGTCCCTCCTTTGAATCTAGGGATTTGAAGGCGAGGCATCAGAAAATACATGGGATCTTACAAAAAAATCGAGGAAACTTTCAATCAACCCCAACCAACATACCCCCCTAAATACAGATAATGATTTAAGTTCATTGCCTAGGGGACGTCTTCAAGCACATTGAACAGAGACTCTCTCTCTCTCTCTCTCCAGGTCAAGCTCCAGGCCCCGTCTTGAAGTTTGGCGCAAAGTCCAGGGCCTTGGGCCCCGTCTCCGCAGATTTGACTCCTGGGAGCCTCAGCAAGGACTCTACGCAGAATGTTCCCTCTCCAGCTGAATTGACCGTGCAAACTGCTGTATAGTCATCCAAGAAATTGGTCCATACCCAGCGCAAGGCCACAGATCCAATGTATCTAATAGACCCAGCATTGCGGAGGAAAGAAGAAACTGAAGCTGTCGCTCCAACTGGGAGGGACTGCACTGCGGAAAGTTTCACACTTCCATCTGAATGCTTTTGTGCCATTCTCAATGTTCTTCGGTGCTCCATTTCAACCCCAAACTGCTTGTATGAAAAGACAAGAGAAACAGCAGAAGGACTTGGCAACACTTTTGGGGGGTCACTACCCTCCTGGAGTTCGCCCTTTCACCCCTGGAAGTGAGCCTGAACTTGACAATAGCTTTTCAGAAAGTGTACAGCAAGAACTTCGCCTGGAAGCGGTGATACCGCAGGGGTCAACCAGGAAAAGAGCTCTGGAAATCATGCACATCCACATGGCCTCTTTTCACAAAAAGATTGATTTGGAGGTTACCAAGGAATATGTGCAGACCTTGCAGGAATCCACATCCTTTGAGAAGTTCATGGTGAGTGCCCACCAACCAGAGGATGAACATGTCAAGGCATTGCAAAGCCTTGGGCTGACACTACCACCGGGATTATCGAATACTAGCCAGGTCAGCAAGGACCAAGCTCTCAAACTATACTTGGCCAGGGTGAACAAGATCGCAGAAAAGAAAGTTGATAGTGACAAAGCAGCAGAAAGGGAACTTAAAGAACAAGCAAAGCTCAGAGAAGCAATCCGAGCAAAGGACCCCAAAGACTATTTTGAGAGTGCAGTTAAACAAGCTCTCTCCAACATGGCCAAAAAACAGGTTGACCCACGGGTTGATTACAGCAAAGCGGCAGCTTCCCGCTGCAACCCGGCTGAATGCATTGATTGGAACAAAAAGGCTGAAAGCAAGAGGAGGTTCACCAAATCCCAACTTGCCGCCAGGAAAGCACAAGGTTCCAAAGGTAAAGGGAAAACCGATGGGGCCCGACAGAGTTCCCAACAAAACCAAGCACAGCCACCAACACAGAGTAGCAAATCCAAGGGCAAAGGCAAACATCAGCAGCCGCAGCAACAACAACAACAACAACCAGCCCAACATAAAGGCAAGGGCAAAGGCAGTAAAGGTGGCAAACATGCAGGCAAAGGTGGCAGCTACGGCCCAAATCAAGTTTTTCACAACCTTGGGCCAACAGCAGACAAGCCAAGAAAACACAAAGGAGGAAAGCCTGGAGGGAAGGGCGGAAAGCCCTGAACAATCCAGACCGTGCCACCACAGAATTTCGGAAGCTAATGCATGGGGCTAGCTTGCAAGATTGGCTCCAAGTCCTTCAAGCAGAAGTTTTCCGACTGCATGTTTACTCTTACTTTTTTTCTTACTACTACTACTCCTACTACTACTACTACTACTGCTACTGCTGCTGCTACTACTACTACTATTAGTACTACTACTACTACTACTACTACTACTACTACTCCTGCTGCTGCTGCTGCTACTACTACTACTATTAGTACTACTACTACTACTACTACTACTGCTACTACTGCCCCTGCTACTACTACTACTACTACTACTGCTACTTCTACTACTACTACTACTACCACCACTACTACTACTACTCCTGCTACTACTACTACTACTACTACTAGTACTAGTACTAGTACTAGTACTACTACTGCTGCTGCTACTACTACTACTACTACTATTACTACTAGTGCTACTACTGCTATCACTGCTACTTCTACTACTAGTAGTACTATTACTTTACTACTACTACTACTACTACTTCTACTACTACTACTACTACTACTACTACTACTACCTACTAACTACTAACTACTAACTACTAACTACTAACTACTAACTACTAACTACTAACTACTAACTACTACCTACTACCTACTACCTACTACCTACTACCTACTACCTACTACCTACTACCTACTACTACTACTACTACTACTTCTACTTATTCTACTGCTAACTACTGCTAATACTACTAGTACTACTGCTACTAGGGCTACTGCTACTGCTACTATTACTACTACTACTACTACTACCACTACTACTACTACTACTGCTGCTACTACTACTACTACTACTAGTACTACTACTACTACTATTACTACTACTACTACTACTACTACTACTAGTACTACTACTACTACTACTGCTACTGCTACTGCTACTGCTACTACTACTACTACTACTACTACTACTACTACTACTACTACTACTACTACTACTACTACTACTTGCCTTACACCTTTGCTTACCCTGTGCCAGATTCGCCCACAGCAGCGGACGCTGCGCGCTGGTCGGCCGAAAGGGCTGCCTTCCGCGCATTGACGGAAGCGCAAAGACGTGCGGAGTCCGGTTTGCTACGGTCCATCAGCGAACCGGCTATCCCCGTCTCCAAGTGAAGCATCCAATGACTGAAGCCATCACTGGCGTGAACATGCCAGGGACCCAGGTTGAAATGGGCCTGGGCCTGAGACCCAGCAACATCTCGCAGATCCCGAAGCTTGGAAAGAAATGACTCAAAATCAAAACCTCCAGTCAGCACTTGGTGGTTTCAATGTTACCAGGCAGCTTCAACTTCTCCCTCTTAGTTAACAGGATTATGGACATGGGGACCAAGCGACCTAAACAGCCAGATCTGCCCAGGAAACTTTCTGGCATGGATCCAATTCAGAACTCCAAGATTGACTCTTGGGCTCGAGTTGAAGATGCAGCCCCTCTCTGGCTACAAAAACGGGGGATGTTTTTATCTTTAGGTGCAAATCATGCATTGAAGTTTAGTTTTGGATGTAAGATGTTTTGGACGTTTTTCCACATCCCGCAACCGACCTCCTCGTTCTTTTCATTTTTGATCCTGTTTGTGTTTTAACATTTTTTGAAGCCTCTTGTTCCCAGGATTTCTTTGCCGTGGACTATCCTCCAATCACCTCCCACGGCCGCGCTTCCAGTAGCACCGCGGAGAATCCGTACG